AAGCTGTCGAACGATTGCGTTAAAAAATAGCCAATCTATAGCCGTCCTAAAAGCGTCTAATAGCGGTATAATTTACCCGGTACTCGGGATAAGCGCGGGTGGTTCGAGAAAACGGCCGAAATTGCCGCAATCAAAAAATAAACGCGGCGAAAGGCAGGTGATTCAGGTAGGTAAAAAGATTGTTTAAAGATTCCACAGGATATTGCCGATTGAAAACAGCGAGGCGACACGCAATAAGAGATGAGAATTACCTATGAGTTGTCGTTTGCGGGTGAAATTATATAGGACTCGCGGCGCCCACGATGCGTGATTAGAGTAGGTGGTTAGGGACACAAAAAATAAGTAGAAATGAAATCTGGGAATGTTTACCCTGTGTAAAAATTGCCTCTATTTTTTTTTTTCGTGTAAAAAATAAGGTTGTAATTTGTGATTATTTAGAATTTGTGCGTGTTCGCTTCGAGTAGAATTTCAGAACGCTTTTACTTTCATAAATAATTATTTAATAGTCAATAAATAACCATCCACCTTCCGAGAAAACATCCCTTAAAGTTTGTGCATTAAATCTCAAATTTTAGTGAACATATACAACTTTGAAATTTGGTGGTTTTTTAATGCAGTCATAAAGGACAAAATATGGGTCAAAATAAACAACCCTTATTTCGGTTTTCACTGTAACTCTCTTATTAAACAAACTACTTCTTTTTTTTAATATTTTTCCTACTCGTTTTAAACCGCCATATATTCAATTACGGAACAATTCATCAATTGCATCAATTGGGGGGCTCCGTAATTTTTTTTATGTTTTAGCGGGAAACTCTCCCCGCGGGCCTATATGGCGTCGTAAATATCGCGTGCGCGACGGATGTATTATTCGCCGGGAAGGAGAAATATTCGTATAAATTAAGTAACAGCCAACGAGAAGATGAACAAAGGCTTTCAAAATAATTACCAAAAGAAGATCTGCCGCCTCTATAAATAATAAATAACCGAGTTTGTTAGTCACTTGGCGACGAACGCCCTCCCGCTTTTGATGGCTATGGGCACGGGGCCCTGGAAAACTTATCGGCGGTGGCTGCTCCACCGACCACACGGCGATATAATTTATTTCTACAAAAGGCTACGATGAAAAAAATTGTAAACAAAATCTTTCTCTATTGGACAAATTTCTGTAACCCTTAAATTGGTACCCTTTGTAGTAATTAAAAAGTGGCTATATTTTATTATACACAACATTAGAAAAATCTTCTAAATTTTCTGCATATCTTCTGATTATTTCCCACGATAACCGAACCATATAGTACTTACATTACACAATTAAGTATACAACTTTTTAGATGTGACCGGCAGGGCGGTCGAGTAGCCACAGCGACCTCGAAAAATAAAACTCGATATCTCTGCAAATCGTATGATCTCTTTCCCGGCATTCGCATCCCCCTTATATCAAAAAGAGGAGAAAACACGCGTATATACAGACCGGCGAAACGGGCACGACAATGTTCCGCTCTTTATGCGTCGGTAGCCGGAGAATAGGGGGTGCTAATTCGATTGAACGCCGCGTATACCATACAGCACACGCCACGGATATAGGACGGGAAACTTTTGATCATCCATAAAAGCGTAATGAGCTTTAAAATTCTTTAAGGTGACTTCGAGTGGCTGCGAAAGAACGACACCTCATCTCTTATTATCAGTGCCTATCGTATAACTTCTTTCGTATGTTATACGGTGTGATGTAGAAGTAGGGTATATCTAGATATTCCAGGTGAAATCGCTTTTGAAATTGGCCAAATCTGGACTTTATAGAGTAGGTTATATTACCCATTTCTAAGCAGTTTATATTTTCTGGATTTGCCAATTTCAAGGGATAATTATGCACTTATTTCGACATATGAGCATAACATATTTGATTATACAGAGTCTTCATAAATGATTGATTTCCATGTGACCTAAAATTTATGCAATCCAAAGAGCACAGTTGTTATTATTTTCAAGAAATGTCCCTATTTTGAATACAAATCAACACAATGGCCTAAGAACATTAATCCACTAGGTTCTTCATTATTTTTACCTACAAATAATTTAAGGTTATGTTAATACACAGTTTTCTTCGGAAAATGCACGGGAAAAACGATGAAAAATAATCAAAATACGTTATTTCTACCGAGATTTCATCGAGTGGACGTTGTCTTGACATTAATGACAGCATTCTAGTAACTTATTTTTTGGGTACCAACATAAACATAACAAATTTACTACGTTCATTTCGAATTCGGTCACGTGGGAATCAATCATTTATGAAGACTCTGTAGATACACATCTGTTTATAGGTAAAAAATTGAACGGTTTAATTTGCATAGACGGTTTTTAGTGTGTATGAAAAATTGAGGAATTCAAACGCAACAAACCGTCCGGTGGCGCCGTACCGAGTTTAGAGTAGGTAAATTTTTATGAATCATTGATAAATGGCAAATTGTTTCGCACCATCATGATAAATTAGACAGCGCCCGGAGAGGTAGAGCGCATCGCGCGGCCGAGAGAGCGCATAAAAGCCAACGAAAACAATATTGCTCGCATACTTAATTGATACTAACGAACCGAACCAGATGAGATTTTAATCCGGGCTCGGCCCGTCCGGAATGGCAGCGCCGTCGAATCGGAATAAACAAAGCCGAAAATATTCGGTACGCGTTCTGTATATTTTCCGGAAGCAATATTAGATTACATTTTAATCAGCAGCTTGCTCGGTCGGCGTACGGAGGGGGCGCAGGGTTACCGGCCATTACTCAAACTTGACGTTAAATGGCTAATTCAATTGTTACCCCAACGATATGTGGTTATCGCTGGATCTAGCGAGCTTTGTTTGCTCAGTTCAACGCCGAATGTTCCCGATCGTTTCCCAAACTGTTTCATCCTTTCGCAATGCCGTACCTTTAATTTTTTTATATCCTTTCATAAATTATTATCAACTCTACAATACAAGGTGATGGCGCTTTTTTAATTGTTATAGGAGCATCATTAACTTGACAGTTTTACATTGTTGTTATGGAGTAACTAAGGGGATTCTTTCATTTGACAGTTTTACATTGGTTGTTATGGAGTAACTAAGGAGATTCTTTCACTTGACAGCTTCACAAACGAACAGGGTGGGCTGATATATGTGAACGATTTTTTTCCTATTTCTTTCGGTAGGAAATTCTCCACCACTGGCGAAATTGTCCCTCGCGAGCGAGGCGAGACAAGGCCTTCAAATCATTGCATTTTGATGATTTAATTTTACGATCACGACGTATAGTACATTGGCAATTGCTTTGCCAATTTCGTACGCTGCCGTTCGACGGTATTTATCGAATTAAAATGTGATTCATATAATATTAGAACCGCGAGTAATCCTGCGAACGATTGATATAATTGAAGCCAGCGGGAAAAACTCCTGAATAATTATCCTACCTCGGTGAAAAACAGGCGTATCCGACAGCAGCACTACAAGTCACTTGTCATTTACCAAAATCCTTGGCCTCTTGCTTAAAATATCTCCAGTAACATAAACAATTAAACCAATAGCAATTACTGTTTGTGCAGATATAGGACAACTATTTCAGTGAATTTCTCCGGTACCTACTTACATTTTGCAGTTCTTTTAGATAATAAACGAATTTCAGTTGGGATTTTGATGGCGACACGACCGACTTTTATGCGAATTTTATGGCCTACCAGCCGACTTTTGCGTTTATCTGGCTGTAACAACAATAACGATCTCCTTTTCTCGGAAACCGTCCTCCTAATGAATATTAATTAGATTTATTTTGAGATATTGTCCGTGTAAAAAGTGACTTTATGCTCCCGAATTAATAATAAAACGTCGGGGACGAGGCGAGGACACTTCGAGAATAGGCCGGTTAAATGATTCATTGTAAACGGAAGGTTTTCCTGAAAAGTAACTCGATTTGCTATTTATTCGATTGATTTTATGAAAACCAAACCGATATCCATTTGGAAAATTAATAGGTGTATACTAGATTATAATATAACGGGCATAAAAAATTTAAATTGCAAGGATATTTCGTTCTATCTCTAATTTAATAAGTAATTATTTAAACGTTAAATAGTCTTCATAAAATTTAAATTAGCTTCTGAACAGGTATTTATTTTTGAAGTTTACCTGGACTATTAAGATAAAAAGGGAACGAATGATTCTTTGCAGATATTTACATCTTCTAAAAGTGGATTTATAGATCATTAAAATAATATCTAAGCATTGATATGCTTATTTGATTAGCCTGGTACTCTTTTGATAGAGTACCCAATTATAATTATTATAGGTATAAGTAGTTAAATGGTAGTTAAAATTAAAATGACATTAGCGATTCGAATGATACTTTTTTGCAAATCTGAAGATACATTAGTTATTTATTCTTATGTATCATTATGTGGACAAGTAAGTGAAAAATATAAATTTATAAATGTTTTTCATATATATTTTTTTATTTTATGAACAAACTATCAATAACAAAAATGAAGGTCTTAAAATTATTATAAAAATAGCCTTTTTTTCAAATACAAAGGTTTTCTTTTGGTCTATAATTATTATAACTATTCAGTTAGCACAAGCACGAATTTTTATTTTTAAAACAACATCGACATCTATGAATCTTTTACGGAAATTCTTGCGTAACTAACCTAAATAGTTTTCTACAGGGACATAGTAAGATTGTTTATAATTTTTCACTATAGATAGAGCTATATTTTTCTGCATATACAGTTGCCGCATTTACAAATACGTGCAAAATTTTTCACTGTTTAGCGCTCTTCATTTACTTTTATTTCAAAATAATCATTAAATTAGGCACTAATTTATTGTTAGCATTATTTTTACAGCCCCAAAACTTTTGAGAAATGTCTAGTATAAAATATAATAAAGGCGATAATTTTTAATTTGGCAACAGGGTAACGTACTGTCACTAGTGTCACTGTCAGACATGTCAGTCACATGTCACAAATGTCAAAAAGTAGTTGCTAGTTTTTTCGTGAATCATTTATTTAGTTCGTCGTTCATCTAGCTTTTTGTGATTGTTGTAAAAATTCGTTAATTTTATTAACAATCGAATATTTCATCCGCCGATCTAACAACAACGTTAAACGATGTTTACGACAAGTTAATTCGATACAAAAACATATCCAAATGGGTCCGAAGTGCTGTTAAAATTGTTGTAAAACGACAACAGCAACATGGTTACTTTTACATTGTTCTAGTTCACGAATTTTAAGAAAAATTTTGCGCACTAGATTTAGACAATATGTTCGTCGAATCACTCGTTTTGTGACAATTAATAAAAGATCGAATATCATGGAATCCATCAGAAAGTGGCTGTACAAACCAAAGGTAAGTCTTGTTCTTTCTGTTATCACTTTGTTGTTCTCATTAATTTTTGGGAAAGTTTATCAATGTATTTGCATTGTTAGTGTATACGTTTTGTTCTTTATAGTAGCGTTAATTTGTCGGTAGAAATCTTTTATTTAATATTAACAAAAGTTTAATGAATATAATGAATGTTACTGTTCTGTTTTCATTACGAATTACAATGATACAATGTTGAAAACATGCACGATTTCTATATGTGTGTCCTTTTTTCACTTTCTAAATACGTGCGTTGCATCACTGTTTATTGTCTTGTATATATTTTACGAGAACAATTATCTCTTTTTCGTATAAGAAATTTTCATCAAAACAATATTAATGTTTCAATTAAAATTCTTGTTATGGCATTTTAATCATTTTAAGGAAATATTTAAAACCCGCTATTTATTAGATTATTACGGGAATTTTCGTTTCGCATATTTCGAAATCGTCATAAATAAAACAGATAATATTCATATTCACGATTCACATAAAATTACAATTTCACCCTATCAATTTCGCAATTCTCATCCGCAGAAGGACGACAAGTCCCTGCTAGCCCAATTCTTCTACGCCGACGAAGAATTGAACATAGTAGCCAGCGAATTGGACAGCTTCGATGGGCGCAAGGACCCCGAACGTTGCACGACGCTCGTCAATCAGCTGCGCCAGGCCCAGGACAAGGTCCTCACCATCACCAACGCCATCATGGACGTGCTGATCGAACACGAACGGGCCAACCGGGACTTCCGCGTCAAGTTCCCCGAGGACGTGCTGCAGGAGAATCTGGCCGGGCAATTGTGGTTCGGCGCAGAAGTAATTCAATAGTATTTTATATAGTATATTTGTGATTAATTCGTCTCGTTTATAGTGCCTAGCGGCGGGATCATCGATAATGAACCGTGAACTGGAGAGCACAGCGATGAGGCCGCTGGCCAAAGCGGTGACGAAGAGCTTGGAGAACGTGAGGAACTTATTGAGGGACACGTGCTTGCGAAATAACACGCCCAACGGCCCGATCGTGTTGGATTCCAACGAGCTGTTCACCGAAGTATTACTGGAGAGCCTGAAGATATTCGACAGGCTGTTTGCGGAGTTCGAATTGGCCTACGTGAGCGCCATGGTGCCGGTGAAATCGATGCAGGAGTACGAATTGCAGGAGCTGATCGGCGTGCTGTTCTCCGAGACGTTGCGAAGGGCGTTGAAGATGAAATTGCTGACGCAGGATATGGTGGACGATTGCGATCCGGCGTTGATGTTCACCATACCGCGGCTGGCGATCGTCAGCGGGCTGTTGATATTCCCCAACGGGCCGTTGGGCATCGACAGGCCCATCGAGGAGATGAGTGAGATGTTCCGGCCGTTCAGGACGTTGCTGCACAAAATACGCGAGTTGCTGTTCACCTTGAACAAACTGGAATTGTACAGATTGGAAAAGTTATTGTGCGACAACGAACAGATCGACGACGTGAAAACCGTCAGCGACGTCGGCATCGACAGTGATCTATTAGAATTTATTAGGCCATTTTACAGTGATTACACGTTGTGCCAGGGAACGTTGAATGATTATTTGAAGAGCGAACAGAGCGCGGCGAGTTCGACTGCTAAAAGTAAAAGCGTAAGGGCGGAGAGGAACACCGAATTGCTCGATATATCCATCGATGATATACCGTCTACGTCCGGTTACCTCATTCCGACCAGTGTTATTCAGAATACCATTATAGCTGCTAATACGAACTCACATTCCTCTATGCACAGGTTCGTGTTATTGCCGATACTAATCTACTTATATACAGGGTGTTAATTAATAAGTGCGACAAACTTATTTTGCATGAAAAAATAATGATATTTTGCTATATAAATATATGCCCGCAAATGCTTCGTTTTCAAGATACGGGGTGTTAAAGTTTCTTCATTACTAGATAACGTGTTTTGAGGAAATGAAAAATACACGTCCAGATGTTTTATTTTTTTACTCCAAAACCGCAGGCTGTACGAAAAAAACACAAGAAAGTTTTTTTGTCACAAATTGAAAGAGGAATTCATTCATAATTGAATTTTCAATAAAAATGCCTCAGTGGCGTACCAATATAATTTTTTGTTTAAAAAAATTATTACCCGTATGCGCGCCAATGATGAACATTTTAATTTTATGTCAAAAAATGCGTAATAGTTACCTATCAAAATCCACCAAATTTCATTTGAATATCTCGTGTAGTTTCAGAGAAATAAATCATCAGTTTTTAAGAAGAAACTTTAAAACCCCGTATCTCGAAAACGAAGCATTTGCGGACATACATTTACATAGCAAAATATCATTATTTTTTCATGCAGAATCACCCCCTGAAGTTTGTCGCACTTACTAATTAACACCCTGTATATACTTATTGTATTTTTTTTTAGGTTGGATTCTCCACCGGACCGAGATTCGTTGGAAATAATATCGGTAGCGGCCGCGACGTTATCGTCCATTTTAAACACAAACGACGCGATAGCCGAGAATAATCACGTGGCGAAAATCGCCTCGGCCGATTTAGAATCTCCCGACGATTCGGGCGTGTGCACGGAAACCACAAGCCTCGACAGGTAAAAGTAAAACGAACGCGCTTAACGATCGCAGAAGTTAAATCTACACGTCCCAATTTTTGTTGCACATCCAGATCTCCGAGTCTCGAACAGAACTGCGGCTGCGCCGGCAACTCGTCCTCGGCCCTGTGCCACTGCCACCAGAAGAAGCCGCAGCCGTTGCACGGCAAGTGCACGGCCAGATTGATACCGAAACCGTCGTTTCCCGTGCGAAAGAAAAAGACCGAAGCCGACGGTAAGAAGAAACGCCCGCGGGACGAGGACTCGTCGAGCAGCAGCGGCAGCTCGGAGACGTCGAGCTTCAACAGCACGTGCGCCGACGACGAGGAAATCGCCATGGCGATGCAGGCCGCCGAATTGGCCACCAAGAACGAAGTCAGGGCCAAATACAAGTAAATATTTCTTACAACTCGCGCAGTATGTATTTATCGGGTAAAATTTCGCAGGTCGAGCGAAGATCTGTTGCACCGATTGTTCGTGTGCATAGCGGGCGTGGCCGATCAGTTGCAGACGAACTTCGCCTGCGATTTGCGCAACATCCTCAAGTCGGTGTTTCTGATCAACGCGTCGGACGCGACGGAGACGGCGCCGCCGAAGAGCCTCGAACCCGTCAATCCCATGCAGAATTCCATCGAATACCATCCGGCCGAGAACGAGGTCATCGAGAACACCAACGAATTCAGCGTCGATCCCAACATATTGGCGCAGGAGGCGCTGTTCGATTCCAACATCTACTTCCATTTGGATTCGGAGGACGAGTTCCTGAGCCAACCGAGGCCGGCGCAGAGCGACGAGCGCAACTTGAATTCCATTTCGTCGGATTTGAATAGGTACAAAGCTACAATCGTTGTTTATAGCGCATTAGTCAAACTCGCGCAGCTAGCGAGGCCATCAGGGTCTATGCGACAGAGCCTCTTCAGAGAGCTACATTCATCGAACAAGTCGAGCTCTCGCAGCGAGCTTTGTTATTTAACTGTCTTCGAGCTGCAGAGTCCATCGTTATAATATTCTTGTATTTTTTTTAGATACGCCTCGCTTCGCGAAGACATAGCGAACCTGCAAACGGGCGACGCGACGCCGACGGGCGAGCAACCGTACGAAGTGGACTATTCGCGTCCGCCGATTTGGATACCGGACGTGGAGGCGCCGAAGTGCATGAGTTGCGGCACGAATTTCACGATCGTGAAGCGACGGCACCATTGCAGGAATTGCGGTAAGGTGTTTTGCGCGCGTTGCTCGTCGAACAGCGTGCCCTTGCCGAAGCTGGGGCACGCGAAACCCGTGAGGGTGTGCAACAAGTGTTTTATTTACAATTTAACGCCGTTTACCATGTGAGATTATTGCATCGCTGGGGAATTGCTAATTGACAATATGACGGTGGAGCTTCTTGAATGAAATTTTCAATGCGAGAGAGGCGTATCAGGTGTGTTGTTTGATAAAAACTGTTATTGTGGAATTCGTATCGAGAAGTCTGATAGGCAAGTGTATTTTTAATGATGCGGTTAAGGAAGTTTCATAGTTGATATTGACATCTCAATAAGAATTTAACAATGATGTTTTTTCAAATTAACATGTGCTTGACGTACATTTATCTCAATATTTACCTACTTTTAAACGCTCTAATTATCATTTTGACAATTAATAATTCTAACAGAAGAACACAATTATCACCAATATTTCCGATAGTTAATAATTTATGTGACAAATAATAGCAAAACGTCTAAATATGGCATTTTTTTGAATCTATTGAATGTTTGAAATATTTTCTTCGACGGCAGCTTAATGTCTAACACTGGTTCGTTTACTACACGAGGTTGATTTTTATTTATATGCAAACATAAATAAATGTGTACTTAATGTGATCGTAACAAGTAAGAAGGGATCATGATCGTTTAATTTTTCGCTTCCTTGTAGTCTCGATGAGTGTGCTACAAGTACCGATTTCAATTCTTTTTTTTTTGTCAAAAATTCTAACTGGCCTAAAACGTCAAATTAACATTTATTTAATACAGTCGGAGAATTTTTAACAATTAAAAAAATTGATTGGCTATTTTTAGTAGGGATTGTATATTAAATACACAATGCAATATTTGGTATATGTTATACAATCCTTGTGTTTCGCCAGCATTTTTTTCTCTAATTACTATCTATAAGAATTTAAAAAGTTTTGCCTTACGTGTTTTGAATATATGTGTATCAATTTAAGAGCCGTTAGATAATTTTTCTTAACAATTCTAAGGCTGAACGTTATATCAATATTTAAATAAATTAAGGGACAAACTGATTGTAATGTTTCTCATAATTCTCCAACAATCGGTTTGGTCCACTCAAAGTAAGTCCACATAATTTTCGCGTTACTCTTTAAAACTAGTTGCATTTGGGCGAAATTAATTTCATTTTCGACGTTAGTACATAAATTAGTGTAAAAAATTCATAACGACTCAATAATTTTAATTATTGTACTGATATATTTTGTGATAAACTTGTACATTTATTTATAATATGGTTTATGGGATTCATATCTCTATTAAAGAATATTTTTCAAATGTTTGTTTACGATTTTATTAACTAGTTACCCGTTACTTTTTACTTAATTTTCTTCGAAAGTTTAACGCCTTTGATTTTGTTCGTTCCATCACAGCGTGTTATACAACAAGCATATAATGATAGCTATTAATTACTTAATCTGATATTGATAGCTATTATTAGATGTTAGTTATATAGTAAGTATACCGTTTGATCACTTTGGACTACATAATAAGATTAACAAAAATCACTTTACAAATAAGAATGTTTTGCTTTAGACATCTTCTTAAGTAACTCGTGCGAAGCTACATAAACTCATCGGTCATTAGAAGTAAAACAAGAACTTTTATTTTTCGCTCCACTGCACTGTACAAATGAAATAGTTCTCTGGTACAAAATAGAATACAATATATTTTTCCATGAAAAAATTAATTAAAATCCTTAACTAAACATAGGTAATAAATAAAAAAAAAAGTGAAATACTCTTTGTCTTTATCTCTCTCTGTACCATCGACCGCGCGGTTTCCTCAACGTTCTGGGCGACTTTGGCGAGCCCGGCAACCGTCTGGCCCTTTGATTCGACCGCGCCTTCGTCGCCGCCGGTTTCTTATTGTTCAACTTCTTAACACACACGTAGAATTTTAAATCGCTATTGTTCAATTTGTTTAATTTGTTTTTATCACTCTTGTTCGCCGCGTGCTTGGGGCTCGGGTTGCAGTTCGCGCGCGCCGCCGGCGCGTCCTTCTTGCCCGCCGGCTTCTTCCTTCGCACGGTCACTTTCCGGCGCACTTGCTTCTTCTTGTTCACGTTGTTCACGCGCTGCGATAGCTCGCGATCGTCCTCGTCGTCGTCGTCGGTGTCGCCGCGCGCGCTCGCCGAGTCCGCGTTGCTCTCCGCCTCGCCCTTCTCTTTACTCGCGTCCTTCTTCGCCGCCGGTCTCCTGCTCTTATTCGGCCACCCTGAAATACGCGTACAACGCTCGTTGAGTAAAATTTATTATGTCAGAGCACACCAATAAATATGCAGTAAAGATTATAGATATAGGCGTGATTACACCCCCAAAGTCTGACCGGCGTCGACAAATGGCTCAATTCTCGAAAAAATTTTGACATGTGAATTAAAAATTGACCCGTTAAAATAACTACATTGCTTCAATTAACACCCTTTATTTAGAAGGCAATGCAACTACACCCACCTGTTTTATTGAGTTTCTTCTTGCGATAGCCGGGCTTCCTGCCCGGCGTGCCGTTGAAGAACCTCTTGCAGCTCCGTTCAGTCTCTTTTAGATTGTGCTCCTTGTGCAGCCCTAGAATATCAGCGAGCGTCGTGACGCAATTGCTGATATCTACGGCGTTTTCGTCGGTAATGTCTATATCGTAATCGTCTAGTTCGTCTAAACCGGCTTCCAGGTGCTCGTCGATCTCTTGTATGATGCTGCAGTAATTCACCTTCGGTTTGGTTTTCTTGGGGGGAGATTTAGTTTTCGGCGGCGCCGCTTGGAGGCGGGACGATTGAAGCGGAGGCGGCGGCGGTGGAGGAGTGGGCGGGGGCGGCGGAGGCTCTTCGGGTACCTGGAAAAAATATATTAGATGAGTACCGTGGTAGAGTAATATGGAGAAGTGACTTGTTGAATTTTATAAGTACAGTTCTTAATAGATCATTAATCCAAAATGAAGTCAATTCGCCATTCTACTAAAGGTATTTTAAGTGTATTTTAGAAACTTAATATACGTCTTACCTCTTTTGGAATTTGTACTAGAACTTCTTCTTCGATAGTGCTCAAGTTTTGGTTAGTGTCCTCAGTAGCCTTACCTTTAGACCTCCCCTTTCTTTGATTGATCAACCCGCTCAAAATGGCCAACGTCGATGCGTGTTGTCTGGGCGATTTCCTAGGATTTTTCCCACTTCCACAACTAGGACTTGTACTTACGCTCTGTGCCGGTTTATGCCTAGTCCTGGCTCTACTTATTTGAGGGTTCTGTTTTTGGTCTGCGCTACAATTCGAACTACTGGTAGATACGCTAAGTTTACTGTCGTCGTCCTGCTGATCGTCCATCGGGGACATCGAAGAGACGCCCGCCTCCGGTTCCGGAGTGGTCTCGCCCGATTTGGACTCGGCTATGCAGGTCAACAGCCCGTCGAGCAGTTCTCGATAGTGAGCACAGCACGTTCTTCGGTCCAAAGGTTGTATGGTACGCATTTGGTACGGCAGGGCGAACGATTCCCACAAATCTACGAAATCGAACGATAAATCGATGATAATTCCGACATAATTCGCTACTTACAATTGCTGTAGAACGCGTAACTTTGCTCGGCGTTGTCCAATCGCTTGAAGGCTTTGTACCATCCGGCCTCCGTTGGCACTTTTTCGAACGCGAACTTGTAATTGTCTAATTTCACTTTGGTTTCGTATTTAACTTTCTTCTCTTTCGGTTGCTCGGCTTTGACGATTTCGGCGGGGCGATCGGCCGGCGATTTGGCGACCATCGGCGGTAAATACGAGCCCTGGTACCTTAGCCTGCAATAACTTTGATGGATTAGAATAGAAAGTAATTGGGGGCTCGAGGGCAATCGCCAATGTGATTTAAACTAACCTGGAACCGGGCGTTTCGAATTTGTAATACTTGTGATTGTCGAGCAGGAAGGCTTCGGCGTGCGTTCTTCGCTTTTTCTTCTTCCCCGTACTGTCCATCGAGGTTTCATCTTCGTGCTTAATCTACAAGATTTTTTATATCAGTAAAACTTAATAGATGTTATTGCGGTAACTGAACAGAACGTACATTTACAGAGGAGGTTCTATAGTCTTCTGGCTCTAAATTACTACTGCTATCCATCGAACTATTCGTGTTGAAATCGATATCTTCTTCGCTGTTTTCGTCTTTTTTAGTGGGAAACAAAAAATTCGTCGCCTCGGTGTTGAGCCTGATCAGTTCGGAGTTGCGAAGCTTCTTGAATTTCACGATTAGCGCTTTCTCCTTATCATCTTCTCGTTTCGGAGACTGAAAACAAATCACAATCAGTAAATCTACTATACATGTGTAAGTATTTTGAGCAAAATATTTTAAAATAATATTCCCTGTACTTGGTCTATTCCTATGCTGTTTGTGGTACACCAGTGTATACAGCCACAAAATATTTTAAAATAATATTCCCTGTACTTGGTCTATTCCTATGCTGTTTGTTGTGCACCAGTTTATACAGCCACAAGAGGTTTTAAAATTACTGTACTGGGTGTATTTTCTTACCTGGGATTGTTGCCTTTTGGCCAATTCCGCTTGTTTGTTGGCATTATTATTGGCTTTATTTTTCGCGGAAAGGACCTCGACTTTGTAGAAAGATTTACAATTATTGGACAGTCTCTCGTCGACCGATAGCCTTTTCCTGCTGATGCACGTCCTCTTGGGGCGACCGGAGTTCCATACCTCTTCCTGAGGCGTCTCCTGGAGGGAAGCTAGTTTCTACAAAACCAAACACCAATCAACGCGATCCTTAATTAATGAATCGAGCAATTAAATAATACCGTTAACGATCTAGTAGTCGCTCTCAGCTCTCTGCTGGCGTCTTTGTTTTCCTGTTCGTTGACATCGTTGATTGTTAATTCGGATTTGTCCTGTATGGTATCATCGTCCAAAGGGGACGTCATGTAATTGACACTTCTGCGTGACCTGAGCTGGTGGCCCGTTATGTCGCTAGCCGTCGGTGATAAAGGGGATGGCCTATCGCACATAACCGAAGATGCCCGATTCCTGCGCATCGGACGTTTCCTGTACGTCGGCGAGAATTCCTCTAAAGACGTGTCATGTACACCTAAATCGATTAAATTTAGTTTGAGTCTAAGAAACTGCTTCGAGATATACCTATTGCATCAATGCCGTTTAAATTTAGAAACGGTATAGTATTAGTTTGCAAGAAGCCTTTCAATGACCCGTTTAAGGCTATAAAATTAGCATCCTCACCGATAAGCTTCTGATGCTTTTTGGACTGAATATGGTCTTCTACGTTGTTGTACGGAACGTTACACACGGCGCAATAGCCGGATTGTAAGGTAGAAATCCTCGGTCTTCTCGTCCTACAATCGAAAAACAAACATACATTACTCGACTCGCTGTCAACATAATACAAAAATATCCGAAGAAATACACTGACCGCCTTATTTACAGCTTCTTTTGGCTGTTTAAAAGAAGCGATTAGGTAATCGGTTTACCTTGTTTTTCGGGTCATCGTCTGCTCTTCTAAAAAAAAATCATTACTCTTTGCGGCCGCTTCGGTGTTCAATTCGTCCACTGTGCTCGAAAGGTCCTTCTTTTCGCTATCAATGAAATCGAAATCATCTACAATGACGTCTTCGAAATGTGGCCTCGTTGTTCTCTCCAACATTTCATTATACAGCACCACTTCCTAAAACATATCGAAATCACTTCGTACAATCCATGCGAATTTATCGCGTATAAATTATTATATTCCACGAAATAAAAAAAAACAGATTAATTGATTAACTAACTCTCGAAATATCAATAATAAAATTGATTTAATCGTACGTTAACAAACTATATTAAAAGCAATTTAATTTAAATTGACACAATTAATTCGAATAAATCGCTCACAAAGCGATTTTCCTAGTCGAAATATACGAGCATATTAAAATGTTTATTCCAGTCTTCGTCGCCTGTCTGTCCACAGCGCAAATTCGAAAAATACGAAAATACTACTTTACAAAACAACCGGCAACAGCGCAATATACGAACCGGCAACGTCGGGAATTGTAGCAATCTGACAGTTGCTCGAACGCCAACGCTGTTGTCGCGTTTTAATTCCAGGAGATTCCGCATAAATAATCGATGAACCGGCAACATTGTTGCATTTTGAATCATATCGCTTTTAAACGTAGAGGTGGAGGCGAATCCGTTCCGCGTAACTGGTTGTTTACTCTGTTGCTTGTACGAGTGGATTAGTGGTGTCGCCCACCTCTATAGGTTATGTTTTGTGTTGTGTTATTAAATGTTGCAGCGGGACGGACGGGGCCCGGGAGGCCACAATAGGCCGTTTACCTACCCAACATTGCACGACATGCGACCTGCAGTGATGTTATGCACTTTACATTGTACTTAGGTCGGGAAGCCAGACCGAAAACCAGCGAAATCTGCGGGCTTATCGAACGAGTACATTTCACTGTTACACAAAATATGTTTGAAAATTTCACAACCAATTTTATTGCGCTGATTAATTCAATTAGCCGAATCTGTTGCGAACAGTAAAGTGAAAATGTTACTTCGAACGAGTATGAGTCATCGTAAAGCAGCGCAATTTGTTATGAAATAACTAATTTAAACCTACTTTTGTATTTAACAAAACTGCATGCTTATAAGGTATAATAATAACAATGTTAAAGGAGAGTGTATAAGTATTTAAATGTAGTTAGTAGATAAATGAAAGTTTAGTTAAAACAACCACTCGAAGCGTGAGTAAACAGAATCTAAAAGGAGCGAGTATTTACGAAGGTCGATAAATTCGAGTTTTATCTTGAATTACGAAGCGTAAAAAATCGAAAAGTATTCGACATGTTACAATTATAAAGTACGATAATAGAAAATCAAGTTGGCTATTTAAGTATTTACATAACAAAACACGGCGACTGCCAACTAGAATAACACACCAGATTATACCGAATCGAACGACTTCTAAAACTAAACTACAGATAAAAAATGCGAAACGCTACGGAAAATTTTCGACTAGTCGTGAGAATTGTTAGAGAATTTACGTAAGAATGTCGCCCGAGGCTTTAATTTTCTACTAACCTGATTTCAGTCCGTTAACAATCCACCAATAAAAACCATCGCAAAAACACTACCTACACAATATACGCAACTATAATTACTTAAAAATCACTCTTGTTTATCTACCGTCATTTTATTAGCTCGATACGACACGTATTTATCGAACGCCGAATCGTTGAATCCTCTGCCTACTCGTTCTCTTCTACTTGTACGGCCATCGCTGTATTCCTTGTGTTGTCGGATTGTCTGCGCTCGATTCTATACGCCCAACCGGCGGTCGGTTCGTTTTTCGCACGCCATCGACGCGACCGTCACTCGTTCTCGCCGTCGTCCATTCAACGAACCAGATGGATCAAATTTTTGCTATTAAAATTTACCAAAAACACTATTTACTATGCATTCAAAACATTTGTCAATCCGCCACCAAAAATATAAATGCCATCGACCAATAAGAGAGCTCGATCGCAGCGCCTCTACCGCACTCATTTTGCAACTCGTATCGATGCTTCGGCGCCAAAATTTGAATTTTGCATTCTACATATTGTAATTACAGATGTTATTTTATGATAAAGTAATGAATTAAATATAGAATTTTTCCACTTATTATTATTAATAATTTAGTCTATTAAGCATTAATTAAATAAAAACTCGATAATTGACACATGTCATCATTCTGTCAGTTACAGAATAACCAATATGCATAGGATACTTTACGGTACTAACAATTATAAATAATTAAATATAAAAATACTAATTATAATGTAATACTTACATTTCTAAAGCGGCTTACGAGTGCACCGGGAAGAACGAAATTACCTCTACTTTTTACTGAAATTGACACCTACTAGTATGACATACAGCCACTATTTCTGTAATTAATCCTAACAAGAAAGCAAATATCTATTAACACAATGTGAATACGTACACATTGTGCTCGTTTTGCTCGAAACAAAAATTCCAAACGTTCACACATCTGAAACTTATCTTATCAAGACGAAAAAAACCACAATAAAAATATCTTTATTATTTCGCAACAGGTACAGTAATACTACCAAAAGGAGACATTTTTTTAATTATTTATTTATTACGATAAATCATTTATATGTAACACATATATAGGTAATAAATATTAAACATGGTCAATAAGATTGGTTCCAATTTATTATCTTTAATAAAATATATGACTATGTTTGTATTGTTTGGACATATTCGGGTAAACAACCCGCTAGATATAATATAATATAGTCTGCCTAGGAAATAAATTGTTGGCAAACGACGAGAAATATAGCTGATAAGACGTTTGGTAATTGGCACATATTCCGATATTATTTCCTTTCCTTTTAACATATTATCCTCCCAAAGCAAAAGGAAACATATACGTAAATTTGAATCTTTCAAGGATTTTAGAATCGAACTCTTACAAACTAATAAAATTCAAAAAACGCGCGTTTTAGGCACCTATTGTTTTATATTTTGTCAGTCGATGTCGTCTGTACGGGCTGATAAATTAAGTAGCCGGATTTAATGTTGTATTTTTCCTTAGGAATTTCTCCTCCAATTCGCCGGGGACCTTCAAAAAATTTCAATTATTCAAAATACATTCGCCGGGGCAAACTATAATAACAATAAAAAATTAGCTAAATTACCTAAACAAAATTGTTTTATCTAAATTATTACTTTATATACTGAACGATGCGGTAACTTTTAGCGTACAGTTTAACATGTAAATAATTATTAAATTTATATTGTGAAATATTAGTGAACTTCGTAGCTTCAAAGTTGCGCATCTTCCGATATGTTCCAAGATTATTACCTAAATGTTTATAAATTTAATTTAAGTATGATAAATTACAACTGGCAAGTTAAAGTATCACATAACATTAAGTAGGTTTACTACAAATAAAAATATATTGAGCGTTTTACAAAATTAAAAAGTTACAGGTAGATGCAAAATTGTTTGCAATATAGCCTATGTGTGCAACAAAGACAAAAAAAGTGATATTGTGAGGGAGATTGAAACATTCTCACTCTAACCAACTGTTACTTTAATAATCTTTCTTTGTTTAACTCATGTGGAATTGGCAACATTGCAAACATATTTTGCATTTACCCATATACAAAATCATCCAACATGCAGAATTGTAATTATTTTATTTGATGAATGAAGATAAAATAATTATAATAATTCACCGAGATAATATACCACCTACAAAGATTTTAAAAAGACAATGCAGGAATAAGTAGTATATGAAACAAATAGAAATAAATGAAAAAGTAACATTAAAAGATAGAATGATGGAAGAAAAACGCCCAAATAAGTACTATTTGGAGCATTTAGAGGCCGAAAATGTTTACTAAAGCGGATCCAGGCCAATTTTAAATAATTCTGCATGTTAAATATTGCAATTTAATTTAAAACATACATATAAAACATTAAAATTTTACAATATTATTATCAAATTATAAATCAATTAAATCAAAAGCGACAAGCCAATCCTAACAAATTAGTTTTTTTTACAAACGTTTCCATTTAATAAAACACTAGCCTACAAAAACAATTATAATTTTCTGAATTTTCTACTGTAGTTTTTGGCCTGGTTCCTGGAAAAAATAGTTAAACATGCGGAGAAAAACTGTTAATTTTAAGCGAAACACTATATTTATTAACCGATTTTTAACACTATTTACAAAATAATATGAATTTTAGCGTGTTAAAAAATCGGCGAAAATATTGATTCAAATGATGATAGTAGATAAAGCAAACACGTATAATAAACTATACTCACTTTAGGCTTGGGTCTGTGGGTATCCACGCACTCGATGTTCAAAGGAATCTCCTCTACTCGACACCCGTAAGCTACAGGAGTTAATTTGATCATAGTGTGAAGCGGTACTTCCAAATACGGCAATTCGTCTACGAAAAAACAAAAATTCAAAAACCCTTCGGTCGCATTTCAAACGCAGTCATTACCCGCGGATTTGTCCAAAAAGTAAGCCAACAGACAACGTATCACAGCTTGATGGGACACGACCAGGACGTTCCCCTGCCGCTCCAGTTCCATAATCACCGGCTCCAAGCGGGCCACCAGGTCCTCGTAGCTCTCCCCTCTCGGGTATCTGTACGCGAATTTGTTCGTGTCCCTCGAAGCGAACTCCTCCGGGTACTTCTCTTTAATTTCCTCGTAGGTCATTTCTTCACAAACGCCCTGTAATCAATCGTATAAGATAAGCGCGCCCGAGTGTATTCGCGTATTTACCGCATCGATTTCGTTCAGCGCCTTCCAACGTTCCTGCGGCGCGTGCAAACCGGACACCGTCTGGATGGTTCTCTTCAACCAAGAGGTCCAAATTCGCAGACCGTCGATTTTTTGTTCTTGTATGAATTCCGCCAAAGTGTTGGCGTACTGCCTGCCTCTGTTGCTCAAATTCGAATCGCCTCCTATCCTCCCTTCGAGGTTTTGTTCGCTTTCACCGTGCTAAACAAGCCGACATTATGAAATTCAATAAATTTAAAGTGAAATAAAAGCGACTCACTCTGGTCAAATAGATTGTTCTAGGCGTAATGTGTATGTTCATAAGGTAGTAGACGATCCTCGCCTGGACGTGACCCTCGTGCTTGTGCACGACCACCTTCTCTCCCGTGTTGTAGATTTTCATGAAAGACACGTCTTTCTCTTTGATTTCGTCGAGAGGATCGTACTTTTCTTGGTAGTGTTGTATCCTCAAAAGGAAATCGTTCAAAACCGTCTCCTTGTCCATGTTCGTGTAATCCGGGCTGCTCACCTTCACCTCCATGATATTCTGCTCGATGATGTTCGGATCGTCGCATATCTAACATTTAATCGAAAAGATGTTGGAATCGTCGTAAAAGATTACCTTCGACTGAACGAGTGCAATTGACGATTGTAATGCACGCACCGGTTTATCGGATTTTGAATGCACGTAAGGAGTTCGCCGACTGCACTCGTTTAGTAGGGTATATATAAATAATTCCGTTGGACTTACGGATTCGACGAAAAACAATTTGAATCCCATCTTCGTGACGACCACGTCGTGGATGAGTTTCCTGCGATCCAACGTGGAATTGGTGGCGTCGAAAACGGCCACTTCGCCGCCGTTCTCCAGCCACTGGCACACGTCGTGCAGGGCCTCCAAGGCGCAGTGCGTCCTGATGGCCATGGCTTCCTGGTTGTCGGGCCTGAAAAACGTGCTTTTTAATGAAAGCAACACCGTTAGACAACATTGCTGGGTACGAGATGAATTTAAAGTCTCCTATAATGATGTAAAGCTGTTTAATTGTGCTCAATGTGGTCGAATAATAAAAGGATTTGTGTGGTTTTTACCTGAAAAAATCGTGGTTTTTATACGCCGATGTGGCGTGTCTTCTGTATTCGCCGAGGTTGAATACTTTCGTATTAATGCCTATCCAGTTTAGGTATCTGGATAGCTTTTTGGAAATGTAGGTTTTACCGCGAGCCGGTAGGCCCACCATAGCAATAACGTGCGGACTATTGACATAATTTGCACGTTCCCCTGTAACAAAAAAAACTTATTTAATTAAATAATGGGCGCGTATTTAAATTTTTACCGTACGAATTAATTTTCATGGAATTTTTTTGATGTATTGTTGATGTTATCTTATCTTTTCGAGTGCTATACTAGTACCGATTGCTTCAATTCAGACCGCAACATGGTCGTTTCTATGAGTTGAACAAAGAAAGATTAATAAAATAAGAGTTGTCAGAGTGAAAAGTTGCATTGACACAAATGTCACTCTTACTTTTTCCTTTATAAATATCTAATGGAAGTTGTCTCTATCGCACCTATAGCCTATAAAACCTATGTTGCGATCTGGAATGAAGCACAGGTGTGTAAATTTGTAAAAATGCGAAGTCTAATTTGGCACCGTCGCATTTACCATCACCATGACACTCATCGTTTTGTTATTGTAATTTGTCATTTTGTCACTCTTCCAAATTTCCGAAAGTTGCTCAAAATCGTTAAATGAATTTCATACACGGCTTGAACAAACCGAAACGGAGAAGATGTGAAGTGGCTCCGCCGCCGTTGCGGTTGAGAAAGGCCGCCAAAGAGCCGGCGGCCGCCGCCAATCAAAACGCCAATTGTAAGTACCGCCGGCCGTACAGCGGCCCGTTGTTTTGCGAATTTTAGTCAATTGTGACGATTTCAGTCAATATTGCAGGGGCGTATCCCACACCAACTCCGGCGTTCGCCTATCCGGCCCAGCAGCCCCAAACCCCCGCCGTCCAAAGACAACCCGCCGTCGCTTACAACCCCACCGTTAATTATGGATTCAGATAAAAAAGCATTTTAAATGTATTTCCATCATAAATAATACATAAAATATATCCCTTACAATTACAAATTTTCTTCGCACAATATTACAAATTTAGGTACTAACCGATATGTATAGAAAACGAACGGGTCATAGCCCGTTTGTTGGGATTCTCCTTCATCTTTTTCAGCAAATTCCAAGCACGTAAACGGTTTTCAACGACTTGCAAGTACGCTGGTTGGAAACGCAACTGGTTTGAACAACATTCGAGCCGATTTCCGAACGACCTCGGACCCGAATAAATAATTGTTTAAACAACGATTAAATAATTAAAAGTTTGCTCTTATCTACGGGGGGAATTGTTTACTTCTTCGCGGCGCAAATTCCGAAACGAACTGGTCGAATCTGTGTTTTCGCGTAAATACGTAAATCGAGTCGCCAACCGGATCGTTGGATTATTTATAAATCGGACCTGTTAACTGAATTTAAATAGAATGTTACGAGGGCGATGCGAAATGTGTAGAGATATCTACATACGTAATGAAAGTTTTATGAATAGAATTCATTAGTTTACGTGTTAAAGCGTACATATAAAATGATTAATTGAATTGGTAATTTAGGTAGGTAAGTGGTGTGATTATGTAAGGACAATTAAATTTTTTCGAAGGTGTGTTAATGTTTTTTTTAAATATACTTTTTGTGGTATTAAATAAGTTTTTCTTTATATTTTTTTTTTGTATTTTTGATCTATTAGAGTTAGGCCCAATGCTATCTCTAACTACTATCAAACTGTAGAAATAATTTATCAATAACCTTATAATGGAATAAACTGGTAAACAATATTTTTGGATGTAGAATGAAGAGACCTTTCAAACGATATGTTACAAGCCTATACTTCCCATTTAAAAAATTTGGGGTTGCAACTGTCCTTCGAAGGGGGTTGAATAGGGCTCACATTTTGACGTTAAAGAATGTAAATTAATAAATAAAATTTTACTTGTTTCGGGATTTTCTATAAATATGTACAATAACCGAAATAATGAATTTATTCCATTTGGCGTTTCCATCCTGCATATCCTGAACTCGTTGAAATGACCATATTGCAAACTGCAATGCACCATAGTTTCAATACCATAGCCTAATACCAATACTTAGTGAATACTACAATACTGTGATACTACTAGATAAGACACAGTGAAAATATTCCTAATAGCTTATAAAACTAACAACTGTGTTCATTATAAATAAATATATTCTTGATATCGACCGTTTGTTGTATAAAGATAACAATTTCACAACTACATGAACAATCAACATGAAGTCTAATTAAGAGTGGATACTTGCCAGACTGATTAAAAGTTTCTTTATTGATAAAAGAGCGACCCATCGATCGGTAATTAACGTAACAACAACCAGCACTATCGTTGATATCGTTAGGTTTTCCCGGCGAAATCATTGCGAATTAATAATTAACAATCGCGCGAAATGGACTAATCACTAATGGGAAATGCGGCTGTTCCACGGTAAATGGTTTTCTTTTACCTCAGCGATGTGTCGTTAGCGTTAATGATAGAGCAAAAAACGGAAGTACCGCGTTTTTACTGACCTATAATGAGAACGAGAATGTAGTGTAGATAACGAACGACACACGGAGTTGCCTACATTCCAGTAAGCAAAAATCAATAATTATTTTATACGAGGAGCGTTCGACTAACGCACGGAAAAGCGGATTCGATTTCGCAGTTATTTTTAAAAAACATCGAAGGCGCCAAAAAGCTCGGAACATACCGACTGTATTTATGTAATAATCGGCGCAATTGTCATATAAACGGGCTATATTCTCAATGATGATACCAAATTGGTATCGATCTCGACCGAACCGGTTCCATTTTTCAACGAAACGAAACACGTCCGAGAACCGAGAATCCGAGCGAAAAAGCACGTGAGTCCGGCGTGCAATCTTTTATCTATTCGAACGGGATTTTTGATAATTTGTGCGAGTGCTCGCGAAAAATAAACAAACCTGTATCGCGTAGGTATTACGTTTTTCTCCGATATCTGTTCTCCGTGAAATCTCTCGGTCAAGGTTGACAATTTACTCGACTTGTACGTTAGATATTAATTGCTTAGATAAAACCCGCTAAAAATATCTGCGATAAATTACTCCTCCCTTAATCAATAATGTTTCTAAATTTTCTACAGTGCAGTAATAGTAGTTGTTAAAGATAATAAAGCTTGCGCAGGACGCGTCTCTAGCTATTCCTAACGCTCTGTAGGTGCAATCATACTAGTTGTGCAGGATGATTCAGTCAAATTGTATGATATAAAATGAGCGTGAAAAAATGAACAATTAGTGGAACAAATTTTTCTTTCTGTGATAAAATTTTTCGAAGAAATTCGTGGGTTGTTAATTAGCAAAGCAGGTTCTTTTGTAACGTTTCGATTTGAACGGAAGTGACGATTTTATCGGTGTAATACATGTCAGTCAGCGAATAAAAGTGTCTATAATAGATAGACGTACATGAAACAAAAACAGAATGATGTATTTACATACTCTGCTTATCTCTATAGATTGTGCTTAATAACAATAATGAAAAATAATTTCTTTTGTGCGTTTGCTGTCTTATTTCATTTGGTCGAATATCTTTCTCGAAATCTTTAAAAGTGTCAGTTAATTGAAAAATAAAAAAGAAATAATTTACGCATTTAATAATAAAGAAACTCGCGATAAGTCAAGGTTGTATTAATGTTATAGATACCCTCAAATTTATTGTTCACTTAATCCAGATTAGCTAAACGCAGTGTTATTTAATTTACGAATTAAAAATTATTAATAAGTAAATGCCCTCGAAGGAATTAACTGGCAACACGTGTGAATATTTCGCGCTTCTATAGAATTTTGCTGAAAATAGTACGAAAGAATAAGATAAGACATTTTTTTAAACAGAAACTTCCTAACTCGACAAATCTTACAAAATTCCTGCTGACTTTGTGTGAAATGTTGAGTTAATAACTGATGTACTGTTCTAATAGGAATTAAATACTTAAACGTTTTGTAAATACTTACATATTTATGGTAAGTAGATACCTAACAAATTTGTTTGCAATACAGTCAATTCTATGAGTTAAACAAAGAAATATTAAAATAACAGTGGTTAGAGGGAGAAAGTTGTTGCAATCCCTCACAACAGGTATCGCCATTTCCTTTTCCTTTATATGAGACTACCTACAGGAAGTTGTCTTTGTTGCACCCATAGCCTATATTGCTAACAATTTTGCATCATCTCATATAAATAAAAACCTCTCGAATGAAGGGCATATCGAATATTTTGTCATGTTATATCTATCTATATACACTTCTTCTATTATCTCATCATCTCATTATTCTCATATCTACTTTCAATCAAATTACTTAATTAATTAAACGCAGAATCATGTCACAATGTGCAATTATTGGAAATTCGATACACTCAATATAATTTCTCACAAACTCATTCAATTAATAATAAAGATAACAATTATAGGAAAAAAAAGGAAATTACGCAAATTGTTTTTCATTTCAAAGCCAAACCAATGAAAACAATGGTCAATCTAGTATATTATTGTTACAAATCTATCGATATCAATTACATTTAAATGGCTTTATTTGATTTATCGATTTTCTATTTGTATTCATTATACGCAGTAAGTTTTTATGTGCGGTATAAATACCGATTTTCACGCGTGTAATAATCTCGAATAAATCTTACCGATGCGTACAGACATAATCCTAGTCGTTCTGAAACTTCTGCCGTCTAAAATATCATCGTACCGGTCCATTTTGAACACTAAATAAACCACGCACAATTATTTTTTATATGCTAAAACCGATTTCTTTAAAATCAAAACATTTCACGCTTTATTGTGAACCTTAAGCGCCCGTTCACCTATTACAATCGCGCAAGTTTAAATTAAGTAACCCACACACAGTCGTGATATAATTGATTAACCTCGTGATATAAAAATACGCCGTTGTGATTAAACATCCGAATTACGGGGTGATAAATCAACGCATGAAATTGTTTAAACAAAAAGTTATTTTCGATCAATTAGTAAATTACGCAGAAAAATAATTTCGGATGAAATGTCATTTCTGTCAAATTTTTGCTTTACCTTCCCTAGCATCCTGTGATGCAAGATCTTACCTGAAAAATCTCATTAGTTGTGACTTCGACAGGTGACATTTAGTTTTGTTAAAAATTTTTAATTAGTAGTTGGTGTTGTATTGAACGATATAGGTAAGTAGATTGATATTTTCTATCATAAAAGGTATTTTTCGGGAAGATATAAACCAATTCCGCAATAATTTTATCACGCCACTATATCGCATTAGCGATTACTTAAAACTTTCGTTAAACTAATCTAACACGAAACTAATGTTTGTGTATAAGTGCTTGCAAGGAGAATATTGCATGTCTGAATTACTAGATCTGGATCGAAAATTAAATGGCGTCTAGACTTAAAAAGTCGTCGACCTTCTATGACCGATACAAATCCGCTTATCAAGATAAGCCAATTCCAATTAATGGCATTATCAATCGATTTTTATGAAGTACCAAATCAAGTTGGCCAAAATCAGTGTAGCCAACACGAAACGTTAATGTTACCACTAATAAACAGTTGGTACCTACTTACTAAAATAATGCTGGTGCGTTATGAAGCAAGCAACTTGATGAAATCAGTAGAATTATTTGAAATTCTAGAATCATCTTGTATTTTTTTATTAAATCTACCTCTTTTCGTGATGGTGAAAGCGTTTCGAGCGAATTTTACAAAACATTTCAACGAGAATAATGAGTTTAATAGGCACTTGTCGGTAACTCGAACCGTAGAAAATTATACGAAAATTACCTACTTGATAATGACCTTCTAGTAAGGTTTTTGTACGAAGTGTGTATCGTGGAGTCCTAGTTTTTCGATCTATCTATTTATCTACGTAGAAAACGTTGCTCGAACGGTTTATTTTTAACTTTAATCATCAAAACACGACAATTTTCCTGGTGAATACATTATCGAGAAAAAATGCCTCGAATACGCGAGGCAAGTTCAATGTGGAAAACGACCTTGCTCTTATCAAATTACGTATCAATTTAGAAGAAGTTAATATTACAAAATGTTTTTTAATATTAAATTCCAGTGTCCATTTAATGGGCTACCTTTTACAATCATATTGATTAATATGTGGGTGTTTATTATCCAAATAGAAATAATTTAGCAATTAATACCTTTTATAATTTATCACTAATAGGGTATCTTTACGTGTAGGTATACAAATTTACATCGTAAAAAATAACCCATTTTTAGTTATAAATGGCCTTTATTATATTCCATTTAATTCTAGTACAACATTTGCGTTTGTTTTATCATCTCATTTGCATCATTGGGCTTCAAAATTATTGAAAGCATTTCCTGGTTTGTAAATTCGGTTGGTAGTAGACCTTGAAATGATTTAGGTAATTTTTTCTATTTATAAATCGCAAGCGCCACTTTATTTTATGTTTTTTTAAGTCAATTTTTAAATTGTTAATTGTAATTAACACAGTCTCTTTAAACTTTCTCTTGAAATTAATAAAAAAACCTAACTGAAGAGAATAATAAAATTGTTTTATGAACATTTCATAATTATTGCGATTTTTTTCATATTTACTGAAAAATCCTTAAGTTTTAATTAAACTGGCGTTAAATGGACATAACAAAATTTTGCAATTAAAATTGAAAATAAATAAAAATTTTAGTAAAATAAAACAACATATTGGGCAACCGGTTATATTTTTTGAAATCAATTTCCACTTGAAATAAATTTCCACTTGAAATAATTCCAATTGTAAAACGTATCAGATTATTATTTTATAATGTTTGGAATAATCCTCCGCATTATTGCTTATTAATTAATCAGGTATTTAGCGGGAATAATAACGAAATTTAACACAAAAATATTTTTAGTATACCCGGTGACAGTGGGAAATTAAAATAAATCAAAATAAATCCTATTTTGATTGAATACCTGTCAAGATTAAAGGGGGATTTTTATTTTTTTAAATTAATACCGAATATTTTGTTTTATTTATTATGCATTTCATTGATGAAAAGATAATGTAATTTAATAATCTAATCAAAGCAGACCAAACCAGTTTATTTTTTGAAGGGTCATCGCAAAAGATAAAACACTTTGAGCCAATTATTAGCGAAATTTTCCCTTATAATAATTTACTCAAAATCCAACCACAAAAATAAATTCCACCGAATAATTACAGGTGTCTGAATTTTTTATGGCTCACCTCTAATCGGAAACGGTTTCGTCTGAACGGTTTCTGTATTGGGCGGCAACAACCTCTTCGTTTCCGGGGACATTACACTAGGGCATGATCTCACTTCACTAATACTGCAATTGAAATTTTTGCAAAGTCCCGGCGCTATCCTCGAACTGTTGCGGACCCTCAGGGAGCCGCTCAAAACGTCCAGTCCGCTGCTCATGTCCGCTCTATACCTCGAAATCAATCCGAACCAACTGGAATCGAGATTCCCAAAAAAAAACCGTCGCGAATCTAATCGGGACTCGATCAAACGCAGCACGCAGAGCCGGTCGATTTTCGACTGGGTAAAGAACCGAACTGTTTTCGATTTTGATTTGAACGACAGCGGTGCGGTGTCCTGCGAAATACACACGGTTTAAGGATGTACCGGACCAATCGAAACGGGTTTCGCGATCAGCCGACTACACCGTGCGTGGTAAACGCATCGCACAGCCCGTGTATTGTGTACCTAGAGCGTATCATAATTTTCTGTCTCCCAGTTCCCGTTCCACGCGCTCGTATCCCGGTAAATTCGACGCGGGAAGAGATTTGATGGCGCTTTTTTGAGTACTCTGTATTGAGCGGGAATCCCCCAAAACATACAATGCATATGGCCGGTCTCATAAAACAGGAAACTGTCAATCGAGCTTGCAATCAATGTTGACAGTTTTGAGTTCTATGATACCGGAAGAATAGCATTAAGTTACTAATTTAAAAGTTAACTACTGTATTAAATTAATTTAAATTCTTACCTGTTAATCAATTAAATAGGAAATTTGAAAAAATGAAACAACCACGTGTACTTTCCTTGTTTTTTTTAATATAATCTCTCCCTCAGGTTAGTCCTGGGCTAACAAAATCGATCACAAGGACCCTTAAAATAAAATACTCGTATATCGTATGTACAAGAAGGATAACAGCGAAAGTCCGATTTTTACAAAAACTTTTTCAGTCAGTCGAAAATTTTATTATACAATTTTAATTGGATGAATTAAGTGGCCGAAGAATGCGAATGGGTTTCGATGCGAATTTTCCAGTCATCGTGGATTATGAAAAGACTAAGGGGTTTAGAAATCCCACTTGCGTGAAATAAATATAGAATTCTTCGTTCGTTCGGATTTTTCTATCGAGTATTTTTAGTAGTACTCAGAGCCCCATTTAAATACGAAAAAAAAACGTACGTACCTCAACTAAATTATCTAAATAAAGACAATTTTTCAATAGACCTATCCGTTTGGAACGTTTTCAATGCGTCTAATTTTAAAAACACAGAACACAAATGTCCGAAACCTTCAGCTGTCAGTTATTGACACGGAACTAGTGATTGGCAAAATTACATGAACCCAGCACGCGCCTGCGCATTGGAAACAATAGCAGGATAAGTCTATTTAGTAACACCCCTTTTCCTATAGAAGAGTAAATTCTAAACGAAATTTGTTGCTATACAGCATCAAAAATGAGATACAACAGGAAGGCACCGGGGTACACTGCCTTGTTAGAATATTTTTTTTCGTGAAAAAGGCAGACAAGTTATGACACAAACAAGAAATTGACATAAAAAAATACAAATTATAAAAGTAACAAAAATTGTAATGCAGCGTAGGTGATGGGCCCATACACTTTAGATATTTCAACGTGGAAGTATTTACTGTTAAAATGCAATAAATAAACACAACTTTTTGACGTAAATGTAATTTTTCGATATTTAAAAATTACAAAAATACCAATAAATCTTCAATTAATTTATCCTAATATACAAAGGTTCATTATTGTTTTTTAATATTTACAATATTTACTACAGGTACATTAAAAAAACAAACAAAAAAGCAAATAACCCATATTTTATTATTAATTAACGAAACGAAAATATTTTAAAACTGGACCAACTGGACTCACTTCTGTATCTTCACTACTTAACAGCGATTATATCATTTTTTCTGTCCAAAGATACATTTCAAATTTCGCTAATAAGAAATAATTACAACATATACAGTCAAATTTTTTTTCTCACAATTGGCCTTCGCTCTCAAAAAACAATTTCAATAACGTATCTTTGAACGTACATGTATCATCGAAAACTGTACTTTCCTATCACAGAAATTATTTAGCATGTTTCCACCCAATTCCATTTATATTATATCTAAAGTGAATGTCCCAAAATGTAGCTTAAAATACATATCTTATAAAATATACAGAGTGGGCGACAACAAATATATAATATAGCAAATTAAAAATATAAAACTGTAAATATCATAACTTCCTACTTATATTTATATTATAAACCTTATTAGTGCCGATTATAGGCCGTTTCATGCCTTCAGTAGGGAAGACACTGATTTTTTTTCTCTCATAATATCCTCAATAAAAAGAAACCAGATATTAGGCCAGTCTTCGAAAAAACAAATAAAAATTAAACTTTAAAAGCAAGGAAAATTGACGATTGTTCAAAAGGTAAGTGTGTAAAGCAATGTAGTACAAAAAAAAACAATTTAATAAAAACTCAAATTATCACCCTCAATTCGAACTCAATTTTAGAGACAAGGGCTGTTTTTTTACTTTATGATTACAATCATAATTTTATATTTACATAATTCAATATTCAAACAAAAATAATTCACCTTAAATCGTACATCTACAAAAAAATGAACTCGTACACTGATCAACAGCTACAATATAATCGTATCAATAAATCGAATCGGTTCATATTTTGATGGTTTTCGTCAATGTTCCTCGAACGAATACAGTGCCTTCAACTAAATTTCCTGCAAAATGTAATTAATTTCATAGTTTGTAGTCGAAAAGCGCGCGAAACCGTTGAAGACACTGTGCAAGATCTGACCGTTTTAACTTCCTTTTTTGTTTCAGGTGTGTATTCAGTTAACCGTATATCGCGAGTCCAGGTTCGTCGCCAGGCCTTTACATTTTAATGCAGCAAACAGTGAGGGAAGAGGGTTGCATGTTCTGTACGCAACTAACTTAATAACTAAGGTTAGTATGATAAACTAAACCTTTTTCGATAGATTTTTGTTTTGTATGTATTTTTCTTTTATCTTCGATAGCCCGGGTTGCGAAAAAGGGAATTTTTTAATTCTCGTCCGCGTTTTCAAGGGTAATAATTGCATTTCTATTTATTGCTTCGGTGTAAAGTCAACTACACGCACACTTTACAGTTTTTTTGGCAGTGATAGCGATTTTAGCTATGTAAAAAAGTACGATTAAAATACAACGTTACGCCTAAAACTAAAAAGTGAAATTCAAACAAAGTTGACATTTAAAAGACGCGCGGCGAAATTCCACCAAATTCCCTTTCACCTCACCCCAGAAAGCTAACCGAAAGACGAAAAAAAAAACAAACAATTAAACAAACAAATCGTTAGGAATCCTAACGACGCGAGCCCCACGCGCCCGCCATCGGCGCAGGAGCCGCGTGGAAGGACTCTTCCTGATTGGAATTGATCGAGGGAAATTCGGTGACGCTGGCCGTGTTGGGAGCGGCCGCCGCCCTTTGCTGTTCCCACGGGCCACCTTGCACCACGAATCCGTTGTTCGGGCCGCCGTCGTGGCGATTGTTCACCGGCTGGCCGCCGGTCTGCTCGAAATGCGAACTCAACGTGTGGAGTCTGTCGCGAGTTTGAAGCTCTTCGTAGTCTTGCAACTGGAACAAAAAACAATTAATGATTTCCAGAAATATGCACAAATGTCTCATATCTATATTGATATTTGTTTTACACCAACAGTACTTCTGAAATAGTTTGAAACGACTTACGTATTCTTCTCCTAAATTGAGCAAATAATCTTTGGCTTCTAAGACGCTCTCTTCCGGGCCGGTGATGATCACCAGATTCGGATCGGGATCCTCTTTCCTCGCGAATTTGATGTCGACGTTGTAGTCTTCCATGATTTTGCGGATGTTACGTCCTTTGGCGCCGATCAGGCGCGGATGGACGTTCCGATCGATTTGGATCTCCTCCTTGGCCAGATCGTTCAATTCGTTCACGATCTTCAAGATGTCCGCTTTGGCGTCGTGGGCGTTCTGCTCGTAACCCGTTATCGTTATGATTGATTCCTCCGGATCACCTGCCAAACCAAACAGTTTTATTAACTATTTACATTATTAACTGAAAGAGTGACTCAACAGACAGGCGGGATTTGGCAAGATATTGTGTAGTTCTCAATTGGATTTATACAGTTTCGGACAACATTTTACGGAACCCTCTTCACTAGCTGAAGAGAGTAGTGGAAGAAGGCCATCGAAAACTATTTTCTTCATATTTTCGAATCGATTGGCCGTAGGCTCTGATTCTCCTACAGCTCACTTTCCGTACAATTCTGCCCGTATACTATATACATGATTAACTCGCAGGTTATCTCGAGCTTACCGATTTTGGGGAAAGTAATTTGCACGTCGTGATCCTTCCTGATTTTCGTGATGACGGCGCCCTTCTTGCCGATGATCTTCGGATGGTACTCCGGCGGCACTTCCACCTGCAGCGCGTACGATTTCAGCTCTCTCTCCTTCTTGTCGGCCTCCAGTTCTTTGACCTTGTCAAGCAGCGCTTCTTTGGCGTCTTCGACGTTGCGCGGCGTGCCGGTGATCTTGATGACGTCTTCTCGGACTTTTTGTGGCGACAGGACGATGTGCACGTCGAATCTGTCCATGAGCTCCTTGACGTCGCGGCCCTTCTGGCCGATGATCGATCGGTGAAGGTCGTAGGGCACGTCGACTGATATGGTGACGGGCACCAAGTCCAAAAGGGCTTGCTTCGCTTGCAGGCAGTTCGATTCCTTTCCTAAAAAAATCATGTCATTACTAATTAATACGTTGTTTAATCGAGTCGAGAGATCATCTTAGCACCAGTACATTAGGAAGATTGATACAAACTCGGAACTTGGCTGTATGCAAGACAAGAGGCCATAGAAAGGAGAAGATGAAGAAGGTGGAGGTAAAGGGAATAATGAGGTAATACATTACCTGTAATTTTGATAACATCGCATTGTCTGACGGGTTCGGTGTTGACGTCTCCGTTCATTTGCTCGTAATTGAAATATTCCTCCTGGTTGTCGCGTTCGGGGAATTTAATTTGAACATCGTAGTCGGACGTGATGTTCTGGACTTTGTGACCGCCTTTGCCCATAACGGTTCTGTGGTGTTTCTGTGGTATGATGCAATCCATGGTGACCATCGATTCCAAATCGGCGATGATTTCGTTGATTCTCTGTTTGGCCGCATCGATGCATTCCTTAGGGCCTGTTTGTAACAATAAAAATTAGTCAAACGAATTGATCGAATAAGTGTTTGTTTACCTTTCAAAACGACGCAATCGCTGTCGATTCCGGATCGCGGGAACGAAATCGTATCGATGCCGCATTCCTCGGATATTTTGTTTAAAACTTCGCCCCTTCGAGCGACGAAATGCTTATGATGCCGTTGATCCACCTGCATTGTGCTTTCGATTTTATTGTCCTTGAAAAAGAGAGTATCCATTAATAATAAAATTACAATTCCGATCGAAAGTTGCGCGCTTACGATATTTTTGATTTTGCTTTCCAATGCCGCTTTCGCCTCCTCGACAGATTCCTTCTTACCGATGATCGTTATAATCTCTTTATCATCGTCAGTTTCCGAAGGGAAAATTATACGAGCGCCCGTAGAGTCTCGGATCTTCTTGATATTGGCGCCGTTTTTGCCGATGAGGAACTTGTGCTGTTGGTGTTTAGCACGAACCTGTAAAAGACCACATAAGATGTTAATAAGCATCACATAATAGAACGAATTTATAAAAAGAAACATAACCTTTTGCTACAAAAAATGAAGGAATTAAGTTTTAAAACCATTTTCTCTTATCTTTTCCTTCTACCTTTACTTCAAAGTAAATGCTTCATTTTTATAAATATAGACTATTACTTCGTCGTTATACAGTACTTACTTCAACGCTGTAACTGGCTAGTTGTCTTTCATTGGCCAATTCCAGGAGTTGCACCTTAGCCTTGTCGACGTCATCTTTGGGTCCTCTGATGGTGACCTTATCGCTTTTGCTATCGGCGGTGGGGAATTTGATGGTGACGCCGCCGCAATCGTCCATGATGGAGCGTATCAATTTGCCTTTGGCGCCTATTAGGGAATTGTAGAATTTAGGGGCTATCGTTATTTCCTCGGTGACGATGTTCTCCAGATTGTCCTGGATCCTTCGGATCTTCTCGCAGGCTTCCTCGACGTTCTCGCGCTTGCCGGTGATGGTGATCGAATCGTTGACGTCGCCTTCGGCGGGCAGATCGATTTTCGTGCCGGTTTCGTTGCGAATTTTGCGAATGTTAGCGCCTCCTGCAGAAAAAAATTTACCGTATATTCGAGGCTAAAAATTACATCGAATCGTTACCTTTCCCTATGATGTTTTTGTGGAATTGTTTGTAGATGGGCAAATCGACGGAGTACGAAGATTCGTTGAGTTCTTTGACTAGTTTTTCTAAATATCTGGCGCATTTATCAACGTCTTCTTTCGGTCCTCTGACTTTCACGATGTCGTTCCTTTCCCCTGCTCCGGGGAAGAAGATTTGAACTTGGTTGAATTTGTCTTTGATATCCTTGATCTTTTCACCTTTCACACCTACGAAGTATACACTCATAAATGATGGTTGTAAACAAAAAAATTGTACTATTCCCTTACCGATAATGCTCTTGTAATGCCTTTGTTCAATGATGACGTCCTTTTCTTTTTCGTTTTCCAATTTAAACACTCTCTGTTCTAATTCAGCTCTAGTACTCGCAACGTCATTTACGTTACCTTCGATCCTAACCAAACCGCTCTCTTCAATGTTAATCAACACGTTGAATTCCTCTTTGAGTTTGTTAACTACAAAACAACGCGTTAGTATCAAACGAATCGTTACAAATCGATCCCGACTAACTGTTCGCTCCGCTCTTTCCAATGATATGTTTGAACAACCTCGGATCGACGTGTATCTCCACGAACGTCATCTTCCCCAGCAGATCCTTGGCGATCTTCTCGAGCTGCTCCTGCGCCTTTTCCACCTCGTCCGGCGGCCCTTCGATCTTGATCTTGTCGTCCTTGCCGGTGAACTCGACGTGCACCTTCGTCAGATTCTGCGTGATCTCCTTGATGCTGGCCCCTTTGCGGCCGATGATGTACTTGTGTATCCACGAGGGGGCGTCCACGTCGCTCGAACGCACCGAATTCGCCTTCTCGTAGACGACGTTCAAGGCGGGCCCCAATTTGTCGTGGGGACCTCGAAGCGTGATGGTTCCTACGAATGATATTAATGAGTTTTCGATGGGTTCGTTGGGAGGATTTTGATTAATTAAATGATCGGTATAATTTGTTACGTACTAATGAGAAAAAACGTCCAGTAAACGGGAACGCCTTTTCACTCTAAGCCGTGATTTATTTAGCACCGATTCTTGTACAAACTCATTACTAATAAAATGTGTTTATTTAGATCAACAGTGCGTTTAGAGATCGTTTTAGGGTGAAAAAAATATTACCTAAAGGCGAATCGGTTTGGGGTATCTCGACGCTGACGCCGGTCGTTTGGAGAATTTCCTGAATAGTCGAGCCTTTGGGTCCGATGACGTACTTGTGTTGGGCCTTGGGCACCTCCACGGAAACCGTTCTCAATTTCTTGTCCAAACGTTGGTACAATTCCTCGATTTTATTCTTGGCCGCCATGACGCCCTCCTTTTCGCCGGCGATGAATATCTCGTCCTTGTTGGCCGACGGCGGCGGCACGTTGATCTTGGCGCCGGTCTCGGCCATCAGGCTGTTCAGGTCCTGGTTGAACGGGCCGGTGATGAACGGATGGAAATGCCTCGGAATGTTCAAACGCTCCGAAGCCTTCTTCGATTGCTGATCGGACGTCACGCGGATTTCGTGTTCGGCCTTTTCGATGCCCTCCTTCGTGCCGGTTATCACGATGATGTCCGAGGCTTCGCTCATGGGCGGTATGGAGATCTTCGTGGCGGTGCTCTTCTCCAAGTCGCGCAGCCGCTCGCCCTTCTTGCCCAATATCCAACGGTGGTGCTCTTTGGGAATCGATATCTTCTTGTTCGCCTTTTTTCAAAACAACAGTTATTAGTACGGTTGCCGCGTACCCTAACGAGTAAAAGCCTGCTTACTTGCGTTTGAAAGTGCGTCAGAATTTTCCTACGGGCCTCGAGTACTTCGTTTTGCTTTCCCGTAACCAGAAACGTGAGCGACTGATCTTTGGCGTGGGAAATTTCGATGTGGGCTCCGGTTTCTTTCATGATGTTGCCGCAAGTGTGGTTCGATTCTCCTTCGCCGAATTTTTGTACGTCTAGCTTGCGTTCTTCGTGCGGAACTCTGAAATGACCCGGGCATTTTAAACACGTTTCTTAACAATTGACTAAAATAACTTATTTTTGGTGACACGCTGTATACTATAATGAGTGTTGTTGGATACAAGCGAAAAATAGTTGACCTGTTGATTAATAAAATTTATTAATCTTTCACGAATTGCCGAGTTGGCGCAAAATTTCAACTTTGATATGTGCAAATATAAAAGCAGCTGATGCAAGTTGAATTTTTCGATTTTTACGAAATGTTAATTTTATTTAAAGAACAAAAAAAACTAGCATTAATTTCGATAAGGCGCACCATTTGCTTATCACAGTGACGTAGTCCTTATCAACGCGAATGTTTCAAAGTCACAAATCAAATACTTTGTAATTATCGTTATGAATGTACAAAATAAAATAATACAATTTAACCGATTTCTTACGGTAAAAAAAACTATTTATCTACGGGTATACTATAAATCTTTTACTACACGTTTCATAATTATGTTCATTAAATCACCAAATATGATTATAAAGAAAAATGAGATATAATTTTTTCAAGATAAGATTTTCATAAAACTTTAATCAAAATATCGATCTCCTTGAATAAAAAAGTAGTATATATAGGTACGTGTAATGACACTAGTACATATCATAACACGTGTAAATGTATTTATTTATTTATTTATTTGCAAACCTGAAAACTTGTGTTATTGTCGATGATCCCACTCTCATCTTGTTGTTGTCGATGCTTCCCCATTTGCCGGCGGTGGCGTTGTTGAGTTGTTGCGGGGTGGATTCCGGGAGGGCTGGGAAAAGATCATCGTAACTCCTAATGGAGGGTTCGTAGGCTGCGCCTCCGTCCATCACTGGTTGCTGCATTTTTTAGGGGTTGTCCTGAGTCGTGCCAAGTCGTTACAGCAGCACTGAAACGGATTTCGTTTCGTACAATTCGAAATAATTGTTAAATTGTAACATGGTTACAGCATCTCTATACTCGATCGTTCGTTCCCACCTTTATATTAAACGTCAATAATTGACAGTTTTGACATGTCTTGTCAACCTAAATTTATTGTTGTATTTTTGTTGTATAAAAAAATACTTTGAAAACTTTCGAATACAACAGTTAGGTATTTTCCAACTTATTTTACAATGCAGTATTTTCTTATCTAGACATTTTGAAGTTGTAATAATAGATACATTAATTTGTCATTAGAGAATATTAGTAATGGAAAATAACTTTGCTCATTAACACAAAGAGTTAGTATTTTAAGGCTTGTAAGTATAAATTTTCGAGTACAGACATATTTATGCGTTAACAGAACTTAAATGAAAACTTACATACTATAGCATATTTACTCGTGTTATTCGAATAATACTACTAATAGAAATACACTAATTGCCAAATAAGATGAAAGTGTGCGAAAACTAATAATTTTAACAGAAATTCTAATATTCCATTTAGTATATATCGAGTACTTAATAGTTTTAATAAAATATGTATACCAAAAAGTAATTAACTGCATTCGAATAAAAAATGTGTATAAAACCAATTAAACTTTTATGAAAAAATTAATAGACGAAATCATATAACAATTAAATAATAAATTCCTTATTTAAAATAAAATAAGATTATTAAATGATTAATAAACTATTTATCTTTTTCATTTAAAATAGTTCATATTTTTTGTATAATTCCAACTGTAAATGACAATGTAATTAATAAGATTGTACCTATCATTGTTTAAATATTGATGAAAATATTGTGATATAATCGTAATTAATTCAATGATTTAATTTATCGAAAAGTAAGAAACCTCTTAACTAAGAACTTCATAAATGGTGTCCATTTAACATATGGAATTTGATGCCCATGTGGCCAAATGAAATTAACAATAAACCACGAATAATGGCATATAAAGGCTGTGCAGCGGTACTAGATCGTAAATCAACGTTAGAAAAGCCATTCTAATGCATGTAAATTAAATGCTAAAGGCAGTAGTCGGGTCTACGTGTCATCTGAGCATGTTGACCCTAAGCATGAAAACATTCCGGATAGGATATTTTGAAAAATAACGTGAAATTGACTTACTGTACTGTAAAAACAGAAAATCCGTCCTAGAAAATCCTGGATCTTCGTGGAATCTCCAGTTTTACTTGGTCGTTCTGAAACAGGAAATTTACGTTCGAATAAAAAACCGAAAAATATTTACACGTTGACATACCTAAAGCCAAGTATAAAATGAAGCAAATCAAGTCGAGTGAATTTTCAAATGCGCAAAAGCGAAAATTTCATCGCTCATCTATCGGTTCAACTTCACATTAGAAAAAAGTAACCGCTATGAAGTTGCTCCCTTTCACTATCCATCAATAGATGACACTATAATAGAAGTTTCAAAATTACTATTATTTCAATTCAATTTGTAATTGCTCGTTGTAATTTAATGTTCTAAACAACATTAAAATATTGCTACAATTAGTATGTATTCTTTTTTAAGTAAAATATAGATAATTATCTTTTACCTAATAGCAAAGTAGTAGTATTTACAAAAACACCTATTAATAAAAAAGAAGAATATTCTTTTCGAGCATTTATTGTCCTATGTCAATTGTCATTTTAATGACATTGATTCAAATTTTTAAAATCCAACTTTTGCGTGATTTAACAAGGAAAAAAAAAGGAAAAATATTGTAATTATGACTTTCTTTAATCTATTAATTATTAAATAAACGTATAATAAGTACAGCCTAAGAAGTATACAAATATATAATTTTTTATTCATCACTATCATTCAATGGAATGTATAATGTATAACAAAATTAAATTTACACGTAAGTATTTATAGTAATTACAGCAAGACTCTAGTCCGTCAAAGATCGATTATGATTATGATATATTTAGAAGCCTTTGTAGACAGGATGCAACAAATGTGGCTGTTGTGCTGCATCCTGTATATCAATATTAATATTCGAAAACTGAATACAACTAGTTCTGACCATCAGAGTAGGAATAACAATATTCTTATTTTAATAAGATATTTACAGTAAGAGTAGATCGTTAGATTAATTATTCCTACAAATTCATTACACGTGATTGCATCAATTCTTTTTTGAGAGGAATTGAGTTCTTTCTAAAAATCCATTTAAAATAAATAAGCTATCGCTTATTATTTACATACTTACGCCTGCCTGTAATTAAAGATATATCCAATAAAATCAATTCAATTCATCCAAATAAAACGATACAATTTAAGTAGGTAAGTTACACGTAACATGTATAATCAAATCACAAGAGAGGCACTACTTTTATAAGATCACATTGATATGCAAACATTTTAAAAATATCAGCACATACAAATCGTTAGATATCGATCATAAATATAAAATTAGCTTTACAAAATATATGTAGGTAATAACGATTTATCAAAAAGATTTATTACTGGAAAGGTATTCGGAAAACATTTGTAATAAAAATTTTGTTGAAAATTTAAAAATATATTAAACCAGATTTTCTGTGTTTGTTTTGATAGATAATGTTATTTTAGTAGGTTTGATATGTAAGTAGGTAGTGTAGTATTATATAATCATCTTCATTACTTAGGCGGGTTTGTAAATGCTCTAATCTTGAAGTGAAGTAATGAGATTTATTGAAATGTTTTCAAAATATCTAATTCAAAAAGACAGTGTCTGTACTGCCTTTAATATGCAACTATAATTTTTACAACATTTTATATTGGATTTTGGAAAATTTTGCTATAAAATATTCGTACTTATCCTATTTCTGATATACATCAAGTTAATAAACGCAGAAAAACAAGAGAGGTACTTATAGATTAGTCCAAAGAGCTCCATTGATATAATAATTATTACACACGTAATCGAAATTCATTTTTTAGATATACACTGATATGGAACTTTTGAAATTGAAAAAGTTTTAAGAGTTCTCGATTTCAAACTAGCCGTTTAAAAATCGCTAGATAACAACATTTATAATTAAAATCTTACTATATAAAAGATGTTAATTGACAAAGTGAAACGTGCAAAAAAATATTTAAACTTAATATTATATACAACAATCAATTCTTATTCACATACATTATTTACATATCACTTCGATTTGAAACAGCCGAACTTACAATATTAATAACAAATAAAATCACAGAGAGGATGTAGGTGATAATAGCGGGGCTGTTAGTAATAATTAACAAAATCACTCCCATATGTAGCGCATTTTCGACTCTTCGAAGAAACTATTTTAAATTTTTGCTACTAATATTTTCGAAAATTTGCACTTTCCTAGCGGCCCTATGCCACAAAAACGGCCGCGATTCCTCCCTAATATCACACGTACTGCATTCGATATCGACTAAACACTCCTCCTCTCGCCCGTTCGCCTTCCCGCCGAAATCTTCATTCGCATCCCCCGCATCCCTACCCTCGCCCGTTCGACCCGGATACTCCGGCACGCTCCGGCTCTTCCTCATCACCATCTTCTCGGCCGCTACCTTCTCCGGATCCAGCCCGAGCATCTCCAGCACCTGCCTCGGATTCTCCACCACGAACTGCCGCCAGCTCCACTCCGTCTGCGTGCCCGAGTCCGCGTACGTCCTGATCGGCACGAACGGCGGCGACGGCGGGCCCGCCTCCCAGCAGAACATCTCCGGCGGATGGGAATTGCTCCGCGCCAGCAACCCGTTGCCGCACGGGCTGTGGTGCAGATGGGCGATGTTCGGATTCGATTGCGCCGAGTAGTTTATCACCGAAGCGCTGCAGGAGGACGGCGTCGCCATCTCCTGGAGCGCCTGGATCGCGTTACGCACCTGCAAAGTTTTAGAAGGGAGGTTGAGAACTGGACGATTTGCTTGTCGGTAATGACCTAGACATTTCTCTTTCTTTTTTCTCGTTTTGAATCGAGCCGAAAGCAGCAGGCAAATTGTCTAATGTCTGCAACTTTGTCAACGAACTTGCTAAGGAAATAGTCAAGGAACTTGCTAACGAACTAGTCAAGGAACTAATGAAGAAACTAGTCAAGGAACTAATGAAGAAACTAGTCAAGGAACTAATAATGAAAATCGAGACTACTCAAGGAACTAGTAAACGAACTAGTGAAGAAACTTGCCAAGGAACTAGCCAAGGAAATAGTCAAGGAACTTACCAAAGAACTAGTCAAGGCACTAATAAAGAAACTAGTCCAGGGACTACTCAAAGAACTAATAAAGAAACTAGCCCAGGACTACTCAAGGAACTAATAAAGAAACTAGTCCAGGGACTACTCAAAGAACTAATAAAGAAACTAGCCCAAGACTACTCAAGGAACTAATAAAGAAACTAGTCCAGGGACTACTCAAAGAACTAATAAAGAAACTAGTCCAGGGACTACTCAAGGAACTTGTAACAAACTAGCCAAGAAACTTGCCAAGGAACTAGTGCAGGAACTAGTCAAGGAGCTTCTCCTAGAAACCGCGCAATCCTGGTAGTCAATCGCAAAGCAGCATCTGTAAAGACGAAATACCAATCTAAAACAAACCGTACCTCCATGCTGAGAGTGGCCACGTCCTGGTGCAGCGTGGATATTTGATCGTCCAGCCTATCGACGCCGTTCCTCGCGTTCTCCACGTCGCTCTTCAGCTCGCAATTGATCTCCTCCATGGAGCTGGTGCCGGACGAATGGTGCGGTGTGTTGACGCTGCGCTGTCTCTCCACCCGCTGGCGCAGCATGGCCAGATGGTTGGTGGCGATGCCGCCCAAGCGGGGCCTGCGAATGCTCTCGTGGAACTCTTGCAACCTGAAATTGCGATGCGATAATCGTGGAGAAAAATCGCAATCGTTCGTCAAGGTTTCGGGCTCACCTTAAATTTAATTTAGCGTGCCTGGGGCTGTTGGAGAGGGCGTGCAGGGGTGATCTGTTCGGCGATAAGGGGGACGTTTCGCCGTCTTCTTGAGCGTTTTCGTCGTCCTCGCTGATGCTGGGTAATGTCAGAGAGGGGATTCCGTTGCCGTCGGACTCGGCCTAAAAGAGATTTCGCTAATACAGAAAGGAACTCTCTGCCGGAGATGTGAAAATATAAATGGTTCGGTTAATTAAAAAGGAAGTATTTTATGTTATTGGGACAAGGAGACCGGCGTGTCTCCGGTCGTGTTCGGCAGGGAATATCTGGAATTCCCAAGCGGCTCTAATATAGGTGTCGAAATGGAGTGGAGCGTAATAAAATATTCACATTAGCGACGAAAGCGCGTTACGCTCGAGGGTGAAATAGATTTTTTGGTATTGGTATGTAGCGAATGAAAATATTTCGAAAAAATGCGAGGAAATATTCCTTACTTCCATTGTGTCGCCTTCTATTGATATTCTCCCTAAACTTTTAATCGACTTTCTTCCTACTGTATTTGCTTAATATTATGACGAGTTATTATTGACTCTTTCGCGTTTATTAAACTTATTCAGAATCATAAGACATTTCGAAATGAAAAATTGAATTATTTACACTGAATGTTCTATAAGTTATCGAGTAAGGTACACAACGATCACAAATCACAGCTTAAACCACCCGTTTCGAAATTTAATTATAAATTGCTACGTTTATTATTATACGCCACACTTTATCAAATTAACCGCACAGGTTGGTTTTTGATGATGTACGAACCATCCGAAAGTAATTAAATTGTACGATTTTCGAGACAATTTCGCGTTGTTGGAGCGTTTTAAAAAAGCAGGCTTTGAAGATAAAATCACGCGAGATAAACAAATAAAAAACACGAAATCCTGCCAACGATATTTCCAGAAAGTTTAATATTTAATGAAGCTGCGTTCGGATTAAATAAATAGGTGAATCAGTGGCCTATTTGTATATCCATCCATTAAATCCTATCAACAATTAGCTATTATTAATAAATTGCGTTGACTTTAATGAATTAACTATGTAACTGAAACCAAACCGCGATATTTCGAAAATACAAATTAACGGGATTTACCCGGATTATTCGCATATATGCTCACATGAAGCCACGTGTATAGCATTAAGACCATGTAATGTTATACGCATAGGTATTATATGGGAAGTTGCATTCATGCCATCTCAGTTTTAACCGAATTATGACAAATCCCGCTAAAATGCATCTATGCATTATGCATGTATGGAAATGTTTGCCACAACTTACAACTCAACCCTGGAGGACTGGATATTTCAATTCAAAAACTAGTTAATTTAATTGATTTACCTCGCATTGAATAGTGTTATACAAGGTGATACTGTTGCAATTCTTTACTGTTTAGAACACGTTTGTTACTTGAATTTTCCTAACGTATTGTAGAAACTATTTCCCCGTTATTTGTGTGCAAATAAGTCAGGATAAAAAGGCCCTTTCGATTAGAAAGTTCATTGGAACGCAATTTCCCTGCACTCGCACTTCACAAATGCAAAATTAAGTTGGAAGAAGTTGATGAAGTCGTCGGAGAAATCCAATTACAAACTTAATCCGTTTTAGAATTGTTTTGTAAAAATCCTATATTTCTCGATTCGCCCGAGGTCTCCGAGAACAAACAAATCGAATGACGAATATAAGAGTTTCGTGTTTGTAGTACCGGCATTCGCCTACGGATCCTAAAGGGGTTAATCCCCTTTAACCCTTCGCAGACCTTCAACACTTTCTATTAGTTAGCCGATGCCTGCGAGCTCGACGGATAACCGAGTAAGTCGGAGGCCACAAATGACGTTCAATTCTCACTATAAGCTAAGTTTGATATTCCTTTTTTCATTTACTCGGAACAGTACATGTTATATGAATTAAATAAATATTGTACAGTGTATGAAAATACACGTTAAATACCTACCTCCGCCTCGTATCCTTCTCTCACGTTGAACGTGAGATCGTGCTGTATGTCGTTGGCGAATTGTTGTTGATATTCCGGATACAATTTCAGGACGTCCATGAGCCCGAGGATATGTATGCATTTCAAATCGCAATAGGTCAAAGCGCGTACGTCGCTGCTCGATTTTATCACTATGTCGTTCAAATTCGACGTACGTTGCTGGTTCTCGTTCGACTGTCCGCACGTCGAAAACTGCAGGTGCACGTTGATATCGCTTCCCACCAGATCCCCTTTTCCTGTTAACAATAACCCACCATACAACAGGAACAACACACATATAGGAACAACATACATATAGGAACAACATACATACATATAGGAACAACATACATATAGGAACAATATGCATAAAGGAACAACATACATATAGGAACAATATGCATAAAGGAACAACAGACAGATGAAGGAACAATATCCATATAGGAAGAACGTATAGCAATAGAAGGGACGTTTCAGTATTGGTAAATCTATATCAAGGAGCTTACCTAAAATGGCGACGACCATGTTGTTCTGGACGACCTCCATGGAGCCGTTGCAAATGTAGTAGATGGAGCTGAGGGCGTCGCCCTTGTGTATGAGGTACTCGCCGGGGGCGCAGAAGTTGGTGCGTATGTGGAGGGAGAGCAGCTTGAGGCAGCCCTGCGAGGCGGCCTCGAATATGGGCAGCTGCAGGATCTCGCGATGAAGGTGCATGGACACGTCGCCGCGTAATTCTTCGGGAAACTCTTTCAAAGTCTGCGCGGAGCGAGAATGTTAAATCCGGTATTAGGAGCGTGATGTTCGGATGGGAATAGCGACTAAGTCACGTTTATTTTAATTTATTAATACAAGCGAAACGTTTGTGTAGTGTAGGAGTATTTCGAAAGTTTTGGGCGGTCGTTTTAAAGATTTAAAGAGAATGTTTCAGAGTATCGGATTTGAGTACTAAATTTAAATGATTTAAGAAGTATTAAAGTTGGAATAAATTATATTTTTGTAGATATTTAATTCACGTTTCCGAAGGTCGAAGTGGTGGAAAATCGTGGTGTCCATCATGAATACGAATCAGGAAATCGAAAATTCATTTGTACGCCTCCAGATTTCGCGTTTCGCGTCGAGAGAATATCGGGAAATCCCACTTGAATATAACTTGCATCGACACTTCTCTTTGTGCCGGTCTAAACTCAGACGTTTCTTATTAAAGGAAAATCTATTTCCGCCAACTTTCGATCCGACCTCGTAAGAAATGAGGCCGTTTTTCTATTAAATCTGCCGACCTTTGCTCGATTTTTCTATCGGCCGTAATATTTTAGGGCGAATTTTCTCGAATTACCATTACGCGTAACGCGTCGTTTTTCTTGTATAAAATTTCGATGAAGCATTATAGGACGTAATACGAGTTTTCGACGACATCCAATTTCTTTGAAAAATATCGGACGGGCGTTTTCAAAAGAAAACAATATTTTTCAATTACCGCCTCGCTTTTTTATCTTGGAAACTACACAAGTCTAGACTCTCTAGATGTTTATTTTTCTTACAAACCGACACGAAAAGGAAATCGATAGTGCGTTAAATAGGTGGAGGTAAAAGCATTTGGTGACTTGAAATACAACTCAATAGAATGAAAATATTATCATCTCATTAACTCACCTCGTGGATGTCGATGCCGTGATTCAGCGACCACATCGTCTGGAAATAGTCCTGCATCCTCTGCTTCAGCTCCTTCGGGATCTGGTGCAACGTCAGGAAATCCTTCAAATCGCGCCACTTCTGCTGGTAGAGCGACCTCCTCGAGTACATGCGCTGTATAATGGCCGTCACGTTACCGAAAACCACGGCGTGCATCAACGCTGAAACGACAAAACACTTCATTTCCCTCCGCTTACATTTTTCCGGGTAATTTCCTCACCTCCTATCAGCATGACGCATATGCTGAATATTTTCTCGTACGTCGTGTTGGCGCTGACGTTGCCGAAACCGACGCTGGTCAGGCTCGAGCAGGTGAAATAGAGCGCCGTGACGTAGGCGTCCAGGCTCGTCACGTTATAGGCGTGAGGGAGCTTTAGCCTTTCCGCTAAAGTATGTATCCAGCCTATAACAAGCAAGTATAAGCTCGATTCGAACGCGCTTGCGCGTCGGATTAGAGAGGGGGTCAGTTGATCGCCGACCGTCGAGCGAGGAGGTTCTTGCAGCGTTGCCAAGCGGGCGAGAATTTCACGTTTTTCGGGGGATATACAAATTCTTACCGAGATCGGTGTCGACTTCTTTTTCGGCGATGACGTACCAAATGCAGGCCAACCAATGGGCCACCAAAGTGAAGAAGAGCATGAGCAGGGTGAGTATCATGGCGCTGTATTGGGAATATCTGTCCATTTTCTGGAGGAGCCTGGCCAATCGCAGTAGCCTCGTGAGTTTGATGAGGTGCGTGTGGGAGCTCGACAGCGTTCCGGAGCTCTGCGAAAAATTTGTATCTGCAGCGCGTTCGGTATTCACTTCGATATCAATTAAAACTCCGGCGGAAAGTGTAATTAATTTCGTGGAAATTCAATTTTTTTTCTATGCGAAAACGCGGCATAATGGTGTGTAATGTGTAACAGACCTTCACGGCGACTGGGCACGTTTTGTATGTACAAATCGAACTCCTAATTTCCCATATAAAGCACAGCCGACTGCTTTCTCTAATTACCCAAAAAACGCTCGAAACGCTCGCGAGCCTTGTTAAATCGAACAATTTAGGGCGATCGAATCGATGGAAATTAACAAGAACTATTCATACCGGATGAGCGATGAGCCTAGCTAATAATTTACCTCGGCTCCGTAGAGGGCGTAGAGCAAATCGAACGGAAGGGCGGCCAGCAGATCGACGACGAACCAAGTTCTTAAATAATTGAGAGCTATGATTCTCCAAGCCGAAACGACTTCTCCCTTTCGATTTACGAAAGTCGTGCGAAAATTTAGTAGAATATCTGGAACAAAAAGGAGAAAAAAAAAACAATAGTAATAATGAGGCGCGCCTGCTGTTAAGAGATTCCGTCGAGATGTATCAGAGAAATTACTTTGGAGTCTTTCGAATATGTTGACGTGACAAACGTTATTGCATCTAAGAACGCGGGTATTTTTAATCTCTAGAAACGCACAATGAATTTTGGTTCTCTATTTATTTTTAGGAGAAAAAACTAGGACAATGTCTGGTTTCTGTAATGTACGATTTACATTTTTATTATTCTATACCTGGGAATTTCGAATCCACGTAAAACAATAAATTAGACCTCTATTTATTATTCGAATGAAAATATGAATATTGAAATTTACAGCGAAATATATTTCCCGCCGAAAAAATCCACAACAAAGAAACCAACAAATCAATATTCATAAATCAATGTTACCCCCGTATATTGATATACGCTCTACCATCGGGAAAAACGGATTAGGGGGCTTTCTCGAAAAGCGCTCAAGTCACATTTCATTCCTTCCGTGCCCGTTTTTCCTTTCTTCCCGGTTGTACCGTCAAAAACAATAATTCCTTTACCCCATACAAAATGCAAGACTGCTTGAATTATTCCGTTCCTTTACTGTACTCCTATTTTGTACACGCCATCAGTTGCTATCGAAAGAATTCATATAAAAAAATATATATCAGGGATATTTTATGGTTTGTACACAACAAATATAGTAGCCATTATACAGGGTGTCCTAAAATATTTATACACCATACACCAAGTAAAATAAAGGCACACAAATGTGTCTTTCACCAGCTTATTGTTACAAAATCCAGCTAATACCAAACAAGCGAAGAAAGTAAAACATTCCATCAATGGAAAATACGCGATGATGAAATATTACACACGAGCGCATAATAGCGAAGCAAACAGATTTATAACTTTGATTAGAGTCCTTTGATACTCACCTATAAAAAATAAGGCTTCAACAAAGACGTCTAAAACGACGGAGGGTCGTTCCGTTTCGAAGCTGGCATTGTACGGAACGACGACGGCTACATAAAACGTAGCTATCAAGATCAACCAATCCCAGGCACTTTTGAACATGCCGTAATGCGAGATGATGAAGCGGCTCTTCTTCACCGACGCCGTCTTGTACTCCGGAAGCGGCGCCGCCGTCGAGCTGAGCAAATTCTGCAAAAACCGGTGCAAAAAGTAAACTATGATGTAAAATTGGGCACAAAAATGGGATACATTTTAATCCTATTGGTAAATTTGGCACCATTAAATGGGGCTTTGAGATGCGTTCGGTGATACATAGACAAAAACTGACATCAAAATTGACATCAAAATTGACATTAGTGACATTTAGTATGACAGAACTTTAATAGAGACATTTTTTTGTTATAGAGATGCAGTAACAACTGTTACAAAATAAGCGTTATTTTTCCAACATCGTTCTCCTGATTACTCTTATCCACTTTATCCTTGTGACGTTATATCGCAGTTTATTTGGACGCACTGTATACAAGTAATTTTGAATAATGGTAGCTTCAATATTTGCACAGTTGTACAACGATTGCGAGAGATTTGCAGCCGCATTAATTTAATTATTGCATAATTATATTGATTTAATTATATAATTTATTTAGCGCTGTTGTGATAATTTATAATTCAAAAGCCCATTCGCCTTTGATTACGGCCATTTTTTTGCGAGTAATTAACATTTCCTTCTCGTATAGGACTCTTTAATTCTGTTTTTTTTTTCTCATGGCAGCCTCGCTTTATCTGCTACAGCAAAACTTGCTTAATAATTAACTCCGTTTGTCTAAAACGAGAAGAATTCCAAACGAAATTTATCGAGCAAAGCTAAGAGTGAAAGACTTTTTAGAGTTTACCGAGGGGATCGGTGGAAGTTTCTTCGTTTAATAAATAAATTGTAGACGTTTCCCCAGTTGATATAAAAAGCAATGGGATGTAACTGATGATAAGTCGGAATGAATAATGCTGTAAAATGGCTTTTCCAAATAGTACTTTACAATATTTTATCTACTGGACGGTCAATAAATCTAGTTAGGTCAACGCAAATCATCGTTAGCTTTATGAGGTTTCCCGTGGAACATTTGCGGTGCGGAAAATTGTTGAACAAAAAAAAACCCGGCTTTTGTGCTGTAAATTTTCTTCGGAAATTTTTTCCAGCTTTCCATTGTTTGTCAAACAGAGTCGACGGGAGTTTTAAAGAACCGCGCCGGCAACGAAAACAATAAGAAAAGTAACGGAAAAGTTGTAAACCCTGTTCGGCATTCGAACAAAGTTTGCATAATCGACGCGTAAATCGATTTTATTCATAAATTCAGAAGCGGGACAAATTTTACGCCTGGCCGGATCGCCCCCCAAAACACCCCCTAAGCGTACTTACGTTGTTGAGCTTGAGCTTGCCCTTCATGCCCTTGTCCGGTTTGTAGTGGCCGGACAGTTGGTAGAGCACCGCCCTGGACCTGCGGCGCCCGTAGTTGGCCGGCGGCGCTTCCGGGTCCAAATTGCCGTTGGCGTCTGCAAGGAGGCAAGAGTCAGCGGAACCGCGGAATCGGGCCCCCAATACGGCCGCTGTGCACAACATATAATTCACTTGCGCACATTTATGGAACATTGAGTACAGTGCTAGACAAGAAATAAAACGAGGTTTGCGCAAGCACTTTTCCTGATTTTCGGGGTCGGGTGTGTGTTCGGTGTTTCGGGGAAATGTTGTTTGTGAATTTTATTGTTGATATGCAATCAAATCTAACTCTGTTAGTCAGGGTGCAACTGCAAGCTTTCTTATACTTATGTCCAAATTGCCAAACAAGTTATAGCATATTGCTAAATGAAAATCGATTTTATTTCAATAACTAAACAAAAGTATTTAATCTTCTTGAAAGTTTGATTGCAGAATATTTGTTACAATTTATGAACCACCCTTTTGTAACACTTATCGCGTGCATTGATTGCATTTGATAATTCAACTCGAATCCTCTGTTTTTTATATTTTATCTGCATTTCGATACTAATTACAATGCATATAATGAATTAATTGTAGGAATATTCATTAGCGAAATAAATGCATTATTCCATTTGCAAACAATTTAATTATGTATTTATAATGTCGAAGCAAAAGGAATATGACCAGCGTATAAATATGTGCCCGGCAAAAATTCCTGCAAGTTAAATTCGTTAAATTAAATGGAAGCAAAATAAATAATTACTTATTCGCTGCATATTCCACATAAATATTTCGACTATTGTTAATAATTAACATGTTAATTAGTAGGTTATTGATCAATTATCATAATCCACTGATTAAATTCTTAAAATTAAGCAATTTATTCGGGATTATACACTAAAGCTTTAAAAGTTTTGAGGACATTCATTAACTTTTTACGAATAAACAACGCTTGGAATTTGCGTTGTTTTTTTGCAGGAAAATTCGTTTAATCGGTCGAATGGACGGGAGAAATTCCGTTTTTCTGGTGCAGATCAAAAAGGAATTTGTTACAGCATATTTTCTGCATTTTTTTCCGGTCGGTGTTTCCCGTTTTCCCGACTTTCGGAAAAGTAAATCTACTTTTCCACAAAAAAATCTTGTGCAAGCTGCTCTGCATGGTATTCTAATATTCTATTATTGGTTTGCAGCGATACTTTATTTTGAACGTTTTATTTGCTTGTAACACGGTTTTATGGTGGGAGTTCTGTGTCATTCGGTTCCGTTTTTTTTTCTCTTCCGAGATTTATCGGATTTTTATAGCCGTTTCGTCTTTGTAAATTCAGCAATAAAATTCACTTTCGACGATTACCTATTTTTATTCAGCTTTCCGTCTTCGTTTCTAAATAATCCAATTTCCTCGTTCGAATGATTCGATTTTTCGCCACTCGGTGAAATTGCAATTAAACTTTCACACCGACTTCGTTAATTATAATTAATCATTTAGCACGGAACGCAAAAATATTTCAGAATTATTCCCCTTAGCTGTCTGATTTCGAGTTCGAAATTCCGAGCCGTTTCTTCCATACGCGGAGATCTAATTACTGTTTCTTTGATTGCCTTCCTTATCTTCTTATGCCAACCGGATTCCGAATTAATTGACTCGTCATTCGTTCAATTCCAGAAAAATTCCGGCCGCATTTTTCATTTCGTTTTCCGCGGCGTTCGTTCAAAGAAAAGTGTCGCTTTTCAAAGCGCGTGCGAGATTTAAAATTATATTATTCACATCAGGTTTATAAAAGTGTCCTCTTACAATCCTGTAAACTGTTAGTTTTTTTTTTAATAAATTGGGAAAAAAATAAAAAAATACCCATTTTTTGTTTTATTATTAAAGATAGTCGTAATATGTTTTATATTTTTTAAAAATCTGCGAGATTCTTCCAATATTCTAGTTGATTGCCCGTATAGCTGGGTATATGAGGTGATATTTTCCGTTTCAAACACCAATTTCATACCGAATTGAAGCGTCTCGGCATTTTTACAATCACTTTTATACCCAGATAATATCCCCCCGTTGTTAAAGCGTTAAATACTCTTCTTTTTTTCCTTCAAAATTGAAGATTCGCAACAATGAAACGGAACAAACAAATTAAAATAAAAAACAGAACAATAAATGTCACAAACAACATAATCGTAGGCACACAAAGCGTACACAATAATAGCTTTTTTTGTAGGCAAACAACAAGTAAATTGTTGTTTATTTCGGTTTGTAATCTTACCGCTATCGTAGAGCTCGCACTCCGACATCTCCGCCATTTTGGTATTGGTGATGTCCTTGTGAGACGCCAAATACAGCACCACTTCCCTTTTCTCATTCTTTATCGGTACTATGTCCAACAAACACCAAAAAGGAGTACCTGCAGAAACCACAAAATCATTACAGACCCACAAATATTAGTCCAAAAGTATTGGTCTACAAATCTTGGTCCACAAATATAGGTCCACATTTACAAATGAACGACGGGAGATCTTTTAAGGAAACGCCACTAATTTTAACCCGAATTAATTAAAATAACTAGGACGAATTTCGCTCGTTTGTACAGCAGGAGTTTTTCTTGTCGTGTACCGACTTAATAATTTGAACTGTTGAACCTCCGTCAAAGCCCCCCTCATTTATCGTTAATAACGTTGATTTCGGCCTCGACTGTGGGAATATAAGGCGAAAATGAAATCCCTAAATAAATTCGAAGGATTTCGGGCGAGTTTGTGCATACATAATTCACAATATCTTTCGGGCTGTTTTCGAATTTACGTCTAGAGTGAAAGTGAAATAACGCGCCCTAATTGGGGCCCGACATCGTCGGTGTAATCTTATTATAGCACCGAAATTTATTCGACATTTTCCTAACAGTCGTAATCTGTCTGTAGAAATTTCTTAATTGGAGGTGTTTGTAACAAAAGCCCGAATTTTTTTGTCTGAATTTAATTGAATAATGATGAATTTTTTTACATTCTTTCGCATATTAAATTTGATACAATATTTTGATTGCCGCATTTCCGTATTGTTTACCTAAATTACCCGCTGAATTTAATCCATAGTTTTAACAAATTCCAGCCATTCTAATTTAATCTACATTTTAAACCGTCGGGCGCGATTTAATTAATCTAGCGCGTTTCATAAATCGAGGGGGTGTTTCTCGTTTAATTTATCCCGTCTTTTTTTTTTCTTCCTACCTTTTTCTACCGGGAACGCGAAAAAATCGTCAATGCCATTAGAGTAATTGGAACGAAGAACTTACTCTCATTAGCGCTAAGAACGGCATCTCGAAGGCTACAATGCTTTTCCCGGGACTAATAGAAAACTTGGCGCGCCCGCCCGGCAACAATGGAAAACGGAACGTTCGAGAAACGAGTAGATGAAAATGCCCCTACTTTCCCGAAGTTTTGATTAGAACCTAGCCGGTTGTAGTCACGCTGTTCCACCGATAACTGTTTTAGCAATTTCGCGTTGAGGTCAAATTGAGATTAAACAACGAAAGAAACGAGCAGTTAATTATCGTTTTAAAAATCTCGATGTACTCACCGTTCTTTTTGTAAAAAATAACCTCGAGCTTGAGCTCGTTTTTGGACTCGAGCGCCTTGTCGATCTGCGTCTTGTGCTCGTCCTTGGTCTCCGGCCCGTAGAGAAACTTGCAGGCGCATCCCTTCTGCATTATCTGCGCCCTGGCGAAGCCGGTCAGCTCGCAGAATCCGTCCGAGCAGTAGACGATGGGGTAGATGCTGGGCACCTGAGCGTTGCCCAACACGAAATTGCTGTCTGGAAACAAAATGCACTTTCGAATTAATCGCGATTAATTAAGCGATGAATAATGAATGTTTTTGGGGAGTTTTTAAAAGGAAAATTTACCCTCTAATGATTCAATAATTGATAGATAATAAAATGAAATTTTTTTAGTATATTTTTAAAATTCTAGCGAATCCACAAATCCCGAATAGGTTTTATTAAGTCGATTCAGGGAAACAATTTCCAACGATCGCTTCTTACGAAAGCGCGCACGTATGCAAATAAAATGTGCAAGGACGAAGGATAATTAGCGCAATTATTAGGTATCGATTGCTCGCGGAATAAACAATATTCAATTTGCGGATGAGTGAATTTGGCATGCGAAAAAAAGCGCGGATGAATTAATTGGTTCGCGTCCGGGTTTCCGTTTTCGGTATAAATAGAATCTCGCCCGAAACGCTGCGTTTAGTAATTAACATGATTTTTCCGTTAATTATGGTGGCCAACTTGGCGCTGATCAACGCCGCGCCGATGTTCCGTGACGAAAATTTCTCCGAATCTCACAGTAAGTTCATTAATTAGATTCAGTGCTATACGAGAGTTGTTAAATATAATCGTTGTGTTAGGTGTATCTTCGCATATGGGGCCTATGGGGCATTCTGTGGTCGAAAAATCAGCAGTATCAGAAAGCCAAAGCGTCGGAGCAGCCGGAGTAGAGAGCTTTTACGCTTCGGGTGGTAGCCATTATGTGAAAAAAGGAATGGGGATGGGAATAGGAGGAATTGGAATTTATTAAAAATAATAATTAGTTAATTTAAATAAAGAATTTACTGTTGTTTATTATAGCTAGATGAATTAAATTAAATCAGGTGGCATCATAACTGGGTTATAGTGAACGAACTATAGTAACATTTTTTATTTACTTTGAGATTTTTTCGATGAATTTTCGTGCTCATTTTACAGTATTTTTAGATGTTTTCTACTACAATAACGTTAGCAATTTTCTTAGAACTTTATGAAGAATTTTCATATATGCATAAGCGGCTTATTGTTCGTGAATTTTCGTTCGAATTCATTTGGGGAAATAGTATAGCATCAATTTAAGACGATTTAGAAGTTTTCGCGGTTAACGGACCGCCGGAGCACATAAGGGCGTTGTTTCATGTATTATTCACGCTCGAAATGAGCTTCTTCTGTTAACTAACGTTCCGTACGTGTTTATTGGGCGATGAATAACGACGCGCGGGGAAATCCAGAAAACGCCGATTTTATTCGCAATCGATAAACATTAGTTCTCGTTCCTCCCAAATATCTACCGGGCCCCCGTGCATTGTGATAGTTTTGCATCGGACTCGAGCAATCAATGGACCGGATGATATTGTGCCCTGTTACGGCGTGCAACAGTTTCGTTCGAACGGCTCCCGTAGATTTTGCGAAGGTTCGGGAACTTGTTGCACTACGTGTTGAATGCGGTACGGGGGAAAATCAATAAACTCATTTTCTACCACTTTTAGATAAAATCATCGCACAGATGCCACACACCGAATCATCGAGGGTCTTTATCGATTATCAATTTAACGTTATTCCCGCGGCTTTAAAATGTGCAGCTCATGCACATGTACAGGGAGGGTTAACAATAGATCGAACTAGTTTTCTACATATATTTTAGGTTTATTGGCCAATAAATTGAGCAATACATAGCTACATAATTGGTGCCTTGGATCTCTTCTGATTCATTTTCAATGAAGTTTTTACTCAACACCAAGCGCTTATTTGCTCGTTTTTATCGTTATCTAACCTACAGATGCGTATGCACAAACAACCAGGTCCCATAAAAATATTAATAAACACGGTGCATTGTCCTAAGCGAGTTTAGTAAGGACGTTCGGCTATTTATAAATCCGTAACGGTATAATTAGATTTCATAAAACTCTATTTTTACATACGGTGCAATATAAATTTTGTTGGTACGTCTGTTCGTTTTGTTCGGTGCGAAATAACAAACAGAACGATTGATCGATTAATTCGCGAATAACAGTTTTGCAGAGGAAAAAAAAACTATTTTCCTTTCGCGACGTCGGCAAATCGGAATCGAATTGTTTTCGTTCGGTAACGGGAAAGTCGATCCTCCTGAGCCTTTTTAAAGTCTTGATGGAATGGACGGAAAATTGGCTCGGCTCGGAAAAAAGACTTTCAATTTGCAGCGGATCAAAATTAAAATACAAAAATACGTTCCCGAAAAAGTAGATTCGTTTTCGAAATATTTCGTTTAAGGAATCAATCAAAGAAAAACATTCGTCGAAGAAATGGAGGAGGAATGAATTTTCTTACAAGTTTTTGTTAAAAAAGAAAGCGGATTTTACTGTACGCACAATTTCATAACTTCTACTCTTATATGTGAATATTTTACCGTAGCAAATAATTAATTTTTGCGCTAAATTTTCCATTCTGTGCACCAAATAATTCCCGTAAATCCCATCGATTTAGCCGATTTGGGAAATCCCCACTTTGAAGGTAGCCAGGCGAACGCTCGGGCATCAAGGATATACCAATGACCGAGATATCTCAAATAGGGATTGACTTTCAATATAACTAATTCACGACGGAATTTCTCAGAGTTGACGTTTTGATAATACGATAAGCTCATTCCAAGGCTGGTATTGCACACCAAAATCTAATATACATCAATCCATAGGTACACTGTGTAATCTAATCGCGCGTTATAGGATTATAGTTACTGCCAATAAGGAGGTATATAAATGGATGAAAGGATATTTTACTAAGAAGTTACTTATTTGATTAAAAATTTCCCCGATTGCAAAATTAATTAGATGTACGTAGGTACAATAATTATTGTGTAAATTCATCGACTCGCCTACGACTCCGTCCGCAAACGCGCCTCTCGTGGACAAAAGCCCCGTAATTTAACGACCATCGGCCGTTTACAATGGCGTACGTTTCCGTGAAATTCGCATAAATTATTCGGGAAAAATCGCCCCGTAACAGGCGGAACAATGAAAAAGCGCGGCTCAAGCTCCGGGTCGAGCTTTTCTGCCGATGTGCTCGTGCATAAAGCGTCGCTGACGGATCTCTAAATTTAAAACAACAACGCCATCATTATTACGACCGGCGATGGAATCAAGACCGCGTGAATTTTTAATTGTGACGAATGCCAACGGGAATTAATTCAATCGTTAATTAGACGGGGAGGAAAAATGTTTTCACTACTCTCTAAGCTCTACTCGCTTGTCTACTCTCTGCTCTAATCTATACTCTACTCCAAAGGTGTTATGGGTAACTCTCAACACTCTGCTCTAATCAACTTACTCTGTTTTAAACGAATTAAAGGTAAAGTAGGAACGATCCACAAAATGATTATAATTTTGGCGCGGAATTCCCGTGCGCCGGTACATTTTATTAGAATACTTTATTACCTCATAACGCGGGTGTAAAGGTGTAATAATTAATGCTTGTGAATAAAAAGCTCGGTGAAAGTTATCAAACTTCGTATTCGCAATTCCAGGGAAATTATTGCCCGCTCCAGTTCCAACTTGCGCTGCCCTTTAAAGTCGACGAAGCGCTACCTAAATAAAAGTCGAGGAGCAATTCCAGCGGACGTTTTATTTACATACGAATCCGCATTCAAAACTCCGCTAATTTTAAGTGGAAGCGATACGAAAAGGAGTGCAAACAGCGCAAAAAAAATCTGATATCCGTCCAAGTTATGGTTTTAAATTAATTAATCTATGAAAAAATGCTCCGTGCCTCATCCGGATTTTAATAAAACCTCTAATTAATGCAGAACATGACGTTCAGTAAAAGTATGTTCACGTTAAACCAGGGGATGACGTAAAGCGGTGTTGCCACCTCGTAATTCTCTTCCAATAAATTCGAGACTTTATTAAAATTAAAAGTGTAGCGACGAAGGCACATCTGGGTTATAACGAGCTAATATGTAACAAACAACCCTCGTTCAAACGGGGTGGCGATTCAATGTCGTCGTCGTCGAAATTCGAACGCGTAACGCTGAAAATTCATTAAGCGGAAAGCGTCTTTACGGCCTCGCGAAAACGTAGGTGCTTTAATTGATACGGGATATAACCGGCCGGAAAATGCGGGATGCTCGAGAACAAAAGGACAGGAAGATATAAATTATCACTGTACATTCTTGAGGTTCGCATTTACACCTGTGAGCCTTCGAACGAAACGGCGCTCTCGTAAGTCGGGTTAATTCAATTCTAATCCGAGAGAAGTTTGCGCTCCCCTAATGATGTACTTTGGGGATGTTCGTTCGTATGGAATCTGGAGAATTATTAACTGATGATCGTTCTGTAGTTAGGTATAGTTGGTTGGATAAAATGGTGATTCTATAGGAAATGTTCGAGGAAAATATACAATTAGGTGTTTCTTCAATAGCCATACAGATGAAAACTGATTGGCGAATGAAATATTCTAAGATATAGTAAGGAATATTATTTTCTAAACAAAATGAAATAAAATAAATTCCCAGTTTTGACTAGTTTCTTAATAAAGTTGTAAATTTTTTAAACACATATTTCTATAGATTTCAAGTTTCTAGCACGTTACAGCTTAAAATTGGACAAATCAATCCGTTCTCTAGCTTATTAATTTTTAACAGATTCAGTAATTTTCCATCTCGTAAAGTTGCAGGCGGGAATATTACATTAATAAAGCTGGATTAATGATTTTCGTTACTTATCAAAATGGAGTTTCCGAATAGAAATATTAATGCGAGTAGAATGCATTAAATGTTCGGCTATCTCGTCCGAACTATAAAATTTAATTACACCGACGTGTGCACTAACACGTTTTATCTCCGCGTTTAAATTCGTAAAACATGCACCGGATGATGGGATTATTTTCGAAAAATTTTACGCCAAAATACCACCTATATATCCTGCAGGTACATTATCATATCCTATTGGAGGTCGAGAAATTACAGGTTTTTTACGGGCATTGCAAATTGTTTATGGTTGCGATTCGAGCGCGTTCGGCAGTAGAATATCCCAAGGATTAAACTATTATTCGCTGAATTAATCCATTTATTCAATCATCGTTTTTTTATAATAAGATATGTTGTTTGTTTCGTCGTTAGCAACTTTATTGTCAAGGATGTAAACAAGTAATCAACTTTTCAAATCGAATCGGCTCTTTTATTTTGTATTATGTAGGATATTTCGAAGAGTCATAATTAGCGAGTTTAGAGGAAATTACCGCACGTGGCTTTTCTGTTTTCCTCTGCACGTGATCGTTACTCAACAAGGAGATCCTTTTCTTCATCAGAAAACCTCCACGTAAGTGTGTATATACATACGCGTTTCATTGAAACTCGCAACGAAAAAAACTTTTAATTTTTAATGGCAAAATTTGATCCTATATTTTATTAAAAATTTTTACGCCGACTAAAACTCGACGGTCCATTAGCGCCGGAGGTTTAGCGAAAACTCCGGGAGGAATTTTAAAGCTTCTTTTGCCACTTATTAGCAAGTTTCTCCATTCGAACGCTGCCGGAAGTTCCAATAAAACCGGTGATTTATGCGTTTATTACGTGCAAGTAAATATATCGATTAAGCGCTCAATCAACATCACGACAGGAGGATTGCTTTCATAATATTTATACGGTACTGTTTAATAACTTGATGAATCACTGCATATACTATGATCAAAATGTATTAATTTCGTGCATTTTAATCCAAACCAGCATGTTACAAATATGTTCTGAACATTTATGTTTAGCAATAAATTGATTCGAATTAACTTCATTATTATGCTAGTAATTGAGGGAACGTTCGTATTCACTATTTTATTTGTGGGTTTTTTGATTTTTGAGATTTTTTTTACAATACTTTATAAG